TCTTGGCTTTCTTGCCAGGTATCTTAACACAGTTTTACATGTTTTAAGAAGTAAGTGCAGAATTATCTTAACTGTGATGGAATATTTGTAGTGCATCACTTAGAGGATTTGTTGTTAAAAACATGTTGTTCCTCTAAAAAAATTCTGGAATAACTTTAATCCCTTTTATTTCTTGGTAATACTATTAAAGACGAGGGCAGCTCTTCACTGGGGAATCATCTCTATGCCTGCTTAAATATCTGAAGTTTGGGATAAGCACAAGCTACTGTGAATATTGGCTTTCCAAACAGAATAATGGAATGTGGTTAGGAGTGTGTGTTTATTTGGCATTTACTCTCATATTTATTTGTCTATAAAAATCATCCACCACAGACTGAAATTTTAGTGCTCTGATCTCAGCGAAATGTTTACTGGTATGCAGCTGAATTGTGCTGCACTATATTACACCCCGTTTACTTTTTCATTACCAGAACTAGAAGCAAAAGTTATTTAATCAGTGACATCAAAGGCTGTCCAATGTTTTGACGTGTGCTAAAATCTTAAGTTAATATTTTCTTTAAAATTCATTTAAAGCATACTACTATAGGTGTTTTGTTTAAAGTGGCATCCTCGCTGGCTTAGGGCTTTCTTTGCAACTAGTGGCTAAGGCTATTATTAAACATAAATTTGAAAATCCTCAAACTAAAAAAGCCACAATATAGGACATTTGATACTATGGTTGCTAATTAAAACTGCAGCAGCATTGGTGACTTCAGGGTGACTTCAGTACAGATGATGGGCAAATAATTTGGGCCAGGTCTACACCATGCAGCAACCCTGCCCATTCCTTCTCTGACAAGAATAAATTATATGAAACAAATGAATTTACATATTTTTGCCTCATTCATGTTTGCCTCATTTATTATTTTTAAAAGTTCTGGAGTGGTATTGGAATGCTAAATTATTGTGCTAGCATTAGAAAAGAATATTTTTATCAATATTTTCTTCCTAAGTACAGCTCCTAGAAAAAGAATTAAGCAGGTGTAAAAAGTTCTGGTTGGGTCTGTTTCATGGGTGTTTCTCAGATTTGCCAGTTGCATAGAGGGCAGTGCCAATAAAAAGTAATGTTAACATACATTGCAAGAGACCAAGCTGTTCTGCCAGAATTGTGTGTTAAATCCTGAGTTCTGTAGAAACGTGTCAGCTTATTGTTCAGGCCCCTCCTCCACTTTTTTTAAAAAGGAATATGACTGTTTTAACTTCATTGATAATTTAGTGTACTTGAACTCCTGCATTGCTGATTCAGTTTGTTGAAATAGACAGCTTAAGTTTAAGATCTTTGAAAAATTTAATTGACCTTAATAACCAGTTTGAATTTTGTCACCTAATAAGCTTTAAGGTTTTGGTACTGAGCTATAAAGCCTTAAACAGTTTGGGGCCAGGATACCAGAAGGAGCTTGTTCCCCTGTTTTCCAATGCAATCCTGTGGTATTTAAAAAACACAGTTGTGTTCCCTGACCTTTGCTGCTGCTTGTCATAATATCTCTTTCCTAGTTTTTATTTGCATTTTCTCCCTATATTTTAAAATTTTGATATTGTTCTACTACACCACTTCAATACTTGACGTGAAAGGTGGTATCAAAATATTTTAAAATAAATATGTATTCAAATATATTATTTTAAAATGACCCTTAGTCTAGTATTCTCATTTGATGTTTTGCTTCCTTTAATATATGTATATATTACTGCTGATAGATAGCACTTTGGGGCAAGCATTGTGGGATGTGTAGGTTTCCACCAGCCTACCAAGTTCATTCATTAAAAATGAATGCGAGACAACAATTTTTGTTAGACAGTATGAGGCTTCTGTATGTCATCCATGCATGCATCTTTTACCCTGAGTATATTCAAAAATTGTGTTGCTCCCCTTCCATTTAGGTCTGCTAACTCTTATTCAAGTTTCTTGACTCTCATGTCCCAATAGTGAATAATTGTAACAACAAAGGCAGCTTCTGTGATTTTCACTAATTTAATGAGAACACTAGCTATAAATGCATATTAATGTAAGCCTCAAGCATGACTGCAGAAAGCTCCAAATCTAGTATACCAACCTAACAAGTCAGGCTTTTCTCACAATTAAAAGAAATTTTATCTGTAGTCTTGACAAGACTTGATATTTTTCATTTGATTCTGAGTCAATAATACTTAATATTTGTTAGCCAATCCATAGAATTGTATGTGTGTGGTAGCCTGGTGTGCTTTCCGCTTCTGCTTATTCCTGGAATTTTCCAAAAGTACAAAATCTGAAAATTTTAAGTCAAAAGTTTGATCCAGAGTCAACAGGGAACTGTCATCAGAAAACATATACTTCATGAATGGAGAGAAACTACCCTCTAGGTATAAGTTGTAAACACACTTATTGAGGCATGTCTTAATGTGTTTCAATTGACATAATAGTAGTCCTCTTTAATACAGATTTATTAGGGGAGGAGAGAGGGCTTCTTTCTTAGTAATTATGCTTTGTGGCTTCCTAGTCTTTCATTGCTTCAAGACTGTAAAGTCAGCTGCCATTTGTACATGAGCTGAAAAGTTACTTTACAGGCATATTCTGCTTTTTAGAAGAATTAATTATCACGTCCTTTATGCGCCTCTGCAGGATGGCTGTAATCGTGAAAAGAAATGCGATAGACATAGGGAAATTGGATTTGGAAGTATAGAAGGATTTTTGAAGTGCTTTTATAAAAATGAGGCTAAGCTTTTAAAACTTGCAACCTTCTCTTGCTGAATTGAAATTGGTCCTCTGGCATTGCAGGAACTTTAAAGTGAGGATCTGGGTGTCTGGCCCAGGAGAAACTGATGTGTGTTGGGCCATGTTTATATCAATCCCAGCCGTCTCCAATAACCTACATGCGAAGGAACTGGTATTGCATCTCAAGTATGTGTAGTTGTGCTCTTGGGGGTGTTTACATTGCAAGGAACAGAGCAGAAACCATTATGGTGGAAGACTGTGTTTGGATTGGCACATTGTACTTGAGCAAACTAATGCCGGCTGGATTACCGCACTTGGCTTTCCATTCCCTTGACTGGAACTGTAGATAACGTTTGACCAATATCCTTTCTCAGCTGAGGGACTTAATAAAAGCAGTTTGTCATTTGAAAACGCTCCTGTGAAAATATTAAGATTTATGGAATAAAATGGTTAAAAACTGTGATGCCAGTTAGTAACTGTAAACTGTTGTCTGTGGCTTTAGAAGAAGAAAGTCTGGTTTTGGCTCTCAAAAGTCACTTATGGGAGGAAATATATGGTGATCAGCTGTGTGTGGGTCAATATATATTTGTGTGTGTTTTAAGTGCAAGTTATTTTTTGTTACAGGGGATCAAAGCACGCATTTTGGAAACCCTTGTTATGCTCATTCTTCTTGCACTGCTTATCCTTGGAATCGTTTGGGTGGCTTCAGCTCTCATAGACAATGATGCTGCGAGTATGGAGTCTTTGTATGGTACGGACATCTTTATAACATATTCTGTTGTTTTCAAAAACATTGATATGAATAACTTGCAGTTCCAGGTTCTAGCCACTGCGGCAAACAGAAGGTATGGGGAGCTGCATTTCTCTGCTCAGCAAGAGTCTTAACTGAGGTTAAGGCAACTTGACAAATATATGTATTCATAGGATAGATTTGTCCATGTCTTCAGTCAGCCACTGTTAAAGTGTTAAAGTAAATGTTTGTGGTCCAAAAATTTGTAAGCATGGTAGTATAATTGTTTACTAAGACAGCAGCAGAATGATTGTACGGTGATCGGCATACTTTTTCCCATGTTACTGCCCAAATGAGACAAAATAGTGTACAAGCTGAATCCATTTTACCTTTTTTATTTTCAGATCTTTGGGAATTCTACCTCCCTTATTTATATTCCTGTATATCACTGATGGGATGTTTATTACTTCTACGTAAGTCTTGCAGTATATACCAGAAGAAGAAGTAATGCATATGTAATTATTTTTGACGTTTTAGTATCAACACCTTTATCCTTTCACCCCTGGCTATTGGTTTTTGTTAGACTAGTATTAACAACATTTGTTTATAAATGCACTCACTAGTTGTGAAAACTTCAGTGCTGGAAAAACCATATCTTGGCATTCATAACAGCTCCTTTTCATATGTAAAAAAATGGTAAAGACTTGTTTCTTATATCCCTCTGTTTTGAGTTTTGTCCATTTTATAGAAGGGAAATTGGAGACCACATATTGGAGAGCTAGCAAGGTGTCATGAAAAGTTACAATTGTAGTCTGCAGTGTATGAACAAGAGGAAACAGCATGCTTGCCAGTTGCCTGAACCTGGGCAACAAATAAACATCTCAGGACAAAGCTGCGTACAGCAGCTTGGGTGCCCCCAATGAGATATACAGAAACAGAGGAGCCTGTCTTATGCCAGGTCAAACGTCACCAAGCTCAGAATGGTCTACTCTGAGCCAGTGTGGTGTAGTGGTTAAGAGCAGTAGTCTCGTAATCTGGTGAACCAGGTTCGATTCCCCGCTCCTCCACATGCAGCTGCTGGGTGACCTTGGGCTAGTCACACTTCTCTGAAGTCTCTCAGCCCTACTCACCTCACAGAGTGTTTGTTGTGGGGCAGGAAGGTTAAAGGAGATTGTTAGCTGCTTTGAGACTCCTTAGGGTAGTGATAAAGTGGGATATGAAATCCAAACTCTTCTCTTCTTCTTCTTCTTGACCGGCAACAGCTTTTCAGGTCTTAGACAGCAGCCTCCTCTTATGATGTTATGCTACCTGATATACTTTTAGCTGGAGATGCTGGGGTTTGAAGCCAGGCCTTCTGCATGGCAAAGCATATGCTCTGCCGCTGAGCTCTGTTTCTATCCCAGTATATGATCAGAGTGTAGATGCATTTGTTAAAAGGGGAGGGATATTTATTTACTTATCTGCTAAGTATATTTATATAGTCACTCAGTGACATTATTGCCTGGGCAACTTGCAGCATAGAAATACAAGCTTACAAACTATCTAATTAAACTTTTTACTTGAACGATAAAACTTCTACAAGATGCTCCCAGGAAATTCATTATTGGTGGCAGGATATTGGCAGGATATTGACCAGTAACAGGGTGGAGGTAGTTTCCCATAAATTGGACAAAACAACTCATTTTTGAATCATTCTCAGTTTTAAATTTCAGTGATATGAGAATCAGACAGAATAATAAAATGGAAAAAGGAAATGTATTTGGACATAATTTGGACAGCTGTAAGACTAACTCCATACCCCTACTAGAGTTTCTGACTTACCTGAAAACAGCCAATGCCTATTCTGCATGGCAAAAAATTATGAAACTATTGGGCAGAATGGAGCTTCTCTTGCTAACTACAATTGCCCGTTCCCTATATTAATTCTTTCAGATTCTGTTTAATGGAGACTAGAACTGTGTTATCTTGCGTTTTCCTCCACAGTATGCACACCAGTGGGACTTTCACGAATGTTTACAGTGATGGGTCAGTTGCTTGTGAAGCCAACGGTAGGTGTTGCCTGCTTTGATGCAATAAGCAGATGCAAACAGGTCCCAAGCATGTGGGTGGGTGGGTTGAGATCAAGTAGGAGCCTGGCCTGGCCAGGCTGTAACCCCATTACCATGAGCGGATAGTGAGGCTAAATTTTAATAAAATAAACCCATATGTTCTATATTTTGTTCAGTCATAAAATACTTAACTAGGCCCCGATAAACTGGAGGAAACTTCTAAATGTCTGTTTCACACATATCCTATAGATATTTCAGAGACATTTCCACCTGAAAATAAATATTCCAAGTCCACTTGGAAAAGAGTGTGAAGTATCATCACTTACCTTAAAGGTAAAGAGACCCCTGACCATTAGGTCCAGTCGTGGCTGACTTTGGGGTTGCAGCGCTCATCTCGCTTTATTGGCCGAGGGAGCCGGCGTACAGTTTCCAGGTCATGTGGCCAGCATGACTAAGCCGCTTCTGGAGAACCAGAGCAGCGCATGAAATGCCGTTTACCTTCCCACTGGAGCGGTACCTATTTATCTACTTGCACTTTGATGTGCTTTCAAACTGCTAGGTTGGCAGGAGCAGGGACCAAGCAATGAGAGCTCACCCCTTTGTGGGGTTTCGAACCACCGACCTTCTGATCAGCAAGTCCTAGGCTCTGTGGTTTAACCCACAGCGCCACCCGTGTCCCTATCACTTACCTTACTAAAGGGTATTTACAACAAAGAACTGCAGTTAGTTTTCAGTGAAGTGTGTATAGCCCTCCATACTTTTTGCACACTGCCAGGCTCTCTGTCAGACACTGAAATAAGTGTAAGCAAGCTTGCACTCATCAAAAGCTGCAGTTATGGCACCTGGCTATTTTGTCGGTCAAGGGATCTAATGAGAAATTGATTTTTTTGGAAAACAATCCATGGTTTTGCAAAGAAAAAGTGCAGAAAGATAAAGCTGTGAAATGAATTGATTTATTTGTAAAACGTTTGCTGCTGTGTTGGTACAATATGATAAAAAAGCAAAACATTACTCCCTTTATTAGGACCATTTTCTTTACAAAATAGTCAGCAAGCTTTGTAGAACTTTCATTCAGGCTGGAATTTGTGTTCTAACAAAATAGCAGAAATGAGGAGTGTTTGGGGGCATAGCAGAGAAACCTCAGTGTGCACCATGGTGCAATTTCAGAAATGTATACAATTTAATTTCAGAATTAGAAAAAATTCTTTTATGATAACATGAAATTGTATGTATGGGATCATGGCAAGTATGTGGAGAAGGCACATGTTAACATGTTTGTAACGGGCCCAAAAATATGATGCTTGGGACCTGAATCCCAAACTAGAAAGTAGCTTTACCTAAACAGTCTGTGTTTGACCAAGTTCTGTCAGAATCACAGATTCATAGAATTGGAAGGGACCTTGAGGGTCACCCTGTCCAACCCCTACAATACAGGGATCCTTTGCTCAATATGGGGCTCGAAGCAACGACCCAGAGATTAAGATTCTCATGTGCTACTGACTGAGCTATCTCAGGCCAGGTGACTTAAACTGGAAAACTTTTCTAGAAAAAAATATTAGGTCTGAACAAACTTGAAAGTTTTTGTTTCATACTCTTTGTTATAGGAAAATGCTTTTATGTTGTAACCTGGGTCCTACATATAAATAAATCTGTACTTGTGTATTTTCAGAATTGTGATCTTGACCTGTGTCGTCAACTGAACATTTTTAACAAACCTTCTTCATATGTAGACAACTTGAAGAATTTTGCTCATCACATAGGATCAATTCTATATGCACAAATGTAAAATTATCCACTGTGTTTGGGAACCAAGAGAAAAACCTAGGAGAATGCCAGAAGCATTGTTATAAAAATAAATGTTTCCATTTTGGTCAGCTGAGGGCCAGTTCACACTTGGCCCAGCAGTATAGGTTGTTCTCATGCCTAGGCTCCTATTCTCTCTAGGTTCTGCCATGTACATGGTGAATTGTGTATGGACTACCTGTAATGCATATTTATCTAGTGTCTAAATTTCTGACTTAGATCCTTGAAGACTTGGATGAACAGATATATATCATCACCTTAGAAGAAGAAGCTATCATGAGGAGGCTAAATGGTAGGTATGTTTGATACTTACGGTGGTTCGTCTTGTATCTGGTTGTATAAGGCGGCAATTTTTTGTCATTTCTACAGAAATGATAAGCTTTACCAGCTGCCACATTTGTTTTCGATCCAAACCTGCCTTTGCTTAAGGACAGGAAGTGCTCCGAACGGATTGTGGTGTGGGCAGCCATTTTAAATAAAGGCAAAACCAAGAATACATTTCCTTGTATCCCTCCTTCCGGAAGCTGCTGCAGCCAAGCTGGTGCCAAATGCACTCTACTTTCCTTTGGACCACATCAGCGAGGACAAATATCATCTGGGCAGCTCAGGACCCCCATACACACGTCCCAGGCTTGCACCCTGGAGAGGTCACTTTGGTGCTGCTAATGCAGCGATTTGACTTCAGAACCACTGGAGGCACACTCCTTTGCATCTCAAAACAGATGGATGCCAACCATTTCTTTACATGCTATGCATAAAACGTTACAGGGAACTCACAGAAAGAAATACCACATTGTCCTTTTCCATCAGAGGGTATGCAGATGCTGCTGGATTGTGGCCCAGGTGTTTGTGTACTGTGCTGGCAGTATAGAAATGAAGGGACTATCATAAGAAGAAAAAAACAAGAAACAAATATAGGGTGACAATTACAATGAAGTGATATTGTTTTGAGGGTGATCTGGCTGTGACATCTGTCACTCCATTGGTCGCCAAAGTTAATTGGGCCCTTCCTCCTTCACTGCTCCATGTGCATCCTTCCTGAATCTGCAAGTTCGGTGGAAGAGGATGACTATCTCAGATTAGAATGAATGCACCGTTCTTCGGCCAAGGGTATATGATAGCTGTGCTGCCCTGCTAGAACCTCCAAATGAGCTCAAGGGCATTGCATGTCATAATGTAACCATAGAGAATAGTTTTATTTGTATAAGCATCTAAAATACAGAGAATTATAGTTGGAATTTCAAAGACTACCTTTAGATTTTTAGAGCAGAGCATCTGTTTCATTGAACAGGTTTATATGTTACCTTTAGCACAAATGTCAGTGAATTTCTTTGAAGCTACAGTGGAGTAATTATTTTTTCCCTAACTACCGAGCTTGATGTTATGATGGAACTGCACAATAATCGTTGCTGTGTATTTCATTATTGTTTCCTTGGTGCTCATGGAATGGTCATGGTCCCCCCCCCTGCTTTCTTAAGAGAAATCGTGTTTTGACACAATTGGTTTTGAATTCTGTCCTTTCAGGGAATCATATGGGAAGACTAAAATATGCATTTCAGTGGCTTAGATGTTTTACTGTATAGCTGAGAAGCTTCGGAATACGTCACATTTCCTTTAGTTTGACTATTTTCAACTTTTTGTGGACAGATGGGCCTGCTACAAAACGTTGCAGTGCTGAGTGCTTCTGATCAGGGGGTCAGCTAGTTAGCCAACCGTTGCAAAGCACAATAGCGTAGTGGTGAAGCGTCTGTTCCACATGCAGAAAGTCCCTGGTGTCCTGTGATAACAGACTGGTATCTCCAGGTAGGACTGCCTGAAACTGGAGAGTCGCCACCAGTCAGTGTAAACAGTAATGAGCTGGATGGACCAATTGTCTCATTGGGTAGAAGAAAGCTTCCTATGCTTCCTGCACTTCACCCAGCAATTGCTGGAGATACTGCCCCTATGACTAATCAGGACTCTGCGGGGAAGGGAAGTTAACCCTTTCTCCCATGCCAGTCCTGATGTAAATCCCCTCTCCCTGAAGAATTCCAAAGAAGAGCTTTGGAGTAGGAAGCTGCAGTTCCTGTTTATCCACAGTTGCAACAGTGTAGGATTAGAGGTGTTGGAACTGCAACCACAAAACAGGAAATGTTCTCCTCGGTTTCTTGAATAGGTTAGTTGGTTTGTGTTATAAAGCATTGTACATAAAAATTCCCTGGGCTAAACATGGAACCTTTTCAGAATCTTCCTTTGTCTGTGGGGCAGTCAACACAGTGGTGCTGTGGACCTTCACTTGTCCCACTCATCTATCCAAGAAAAATAAACACACCTGTTGAAGAACCGTGTCTTTGTATGCTACTGAGAACTAACAAATACTGAACAAGGAAGTATTGAGCACCTGTTTGCAAGTGTGGACACACATAGAACAGATGTTAATCACATTTTTGGCAGAAACTCAGGTACTAGCATAATGAAGGACTATGGAACCTGCCTCTAATCCTGGAAAGAATGAGAAACTTTGGTAGTTATAATCTTCATAATTTCCTAGACGGTGGGATCTGAATCCGCAATATTTTTACTTCGGTTCTGGCTTAGCGGAATGCTTCTAGGAATCAAACTGAAATTAAATTATTATTAATCTTGTGTCTTTTAAAAATGCCCTTTTAAGATAATGCCAGTCATTAAAAACACTTATAATTTATAAAATGTGAATTTTATATAACTTTATTTTCCCCATATGCTTTTTTTTGGTGGTGAGGAAATCATCCCTGCAATGGATGATCTGCCTAAACTTTCTTGTTGCGAAAGAGACTGGGTTGGCAGCAGTGTTTCTAGCATATTGTATTTCAATACCCACATCATTCCTACACCAAAAGAATAAAGCTAGGACCTTCTTTATATTAAAAGGGAAAAGTTGCCTTTAGCTATTAGTTTTCCTGAATCCAAGGAGACGGGTGGGGCAGGATCAAAAATGCTTATTTGATCAAAGTTATTGGCTCTGAAGGTATTCTGACCTATGTAAGAAAGATGAAAGGTGTTGTTTTTATTGCGCACTAGTAACAGTGTAATTTTGAACTAATTGGTGTTGAACTGCCAATCACCTACAGGGAATGCAAATAGATACTCCTACAATTTCCTTTGAGGTACTGAAATATTATGTTGGGACTGGAAGAAAAACAAAATAATACTGTTAAATTGACCTTAAATGAGCTGCTTTGTGGTTTTCTTGGAGAATCCCTTCTAATTTTTCATGACTAGTCTGGACATGTTCTGTCTACCAGTTTGATTTATTGGCTAGACAATGCAGACATTAAACTTTTGTGCTTGTTTGAAATGAAGTTGAGAGGCTGTAGTGCTTTGAATAGTTTGTGCTGTCTTTCAGAGTTCTGATGTGATTGCTCTAAAATGTTGCCTTGCACTTTGGCAAAATATTGGGATTAGTGTTGCCTTGTTATCATCTCGGAGGAAGTTGTAAGACCTGTCATTTATGCGTCAGTGTAAATATTAAAGATTTGATGTATTTCCCATTAACACTGATGTGAAAATTACTGCAGATGCAGCGAGATTTGGGGAGCATCCAAACACCTGTATTGACAAATAAAGCTTCCTTTATACAGGGTAGCCCATTATTTAGCTCACTCTTCTCTGCTCCAAGGGGCAGCTGCTCTTTGAGGACTTTCCTAGCTGTTCTCTTATCCTCATTACTGGTGATGCCAGAGGTTGAACCTAGCACCCCATGCCTGCAAACATTATGCTCCACCTGTGATCGATGGTTCTGTTCCTGATGTAATATGGTTAAAGAGGTGTTTGCCTTTTTCCATGTGGAAGCAGAGGACAGTTTATATTTTTGCAGATGGACCACTGCAGGAAAGGTGCATCCTGGTTTCTGCAAAGAAAGGAAGGGCAATGGAAATGCCAAGGGCTAGAAAAGAAGAAAAAAGCAGGAAAGAGGAAGGAAAACAGCAACTCTTTAGGATCCCAGGGATTCCGATAGTCTGGGATTCAAACAACTCATCAGTCACAGTTCTGATTTAACTCATTGGCTAAAAACATCGCTGGCAGCAGCCAGTGTGAGTCTTCTCACAGAAATCATTTAGAAGGTTGCTTGCACATTTTGCTTCATAACTTTCCTAGCAGCTTCAGCTCATAGTCTTGGGCCCCTATTGGCATGGGCCCTGGCGCAATTGCTTCTTTTTCACCATTATAATCCAGCCAGGTTTGTTTTAGTAGTCCTAACCAAGTGGTCATGTCTTTCTTCTTGAACAGGGATGTCTTCACCAGTGGAGTACAACACAAAGCAGCTGAAACAGGAACTAAGTAATGTGAAGAGTATGAAGACAAAACTGGGTAATTACATCGGGCCTTTTCTGTGGTTCCCTGTGTGTGTTAGTTCAGTTTAAAACTGTTTCTGGGTGGTGTTAGAAATGTGTGTGCTTATCATATCAGGTGTTATTACCAAGACGATCTCTTGTGTAAATAGGTTTTGTTAACATCACACTTCATGGCGGGAAACCCTGCAGTCCTGTAAATGGGTTTTGATTTATTTATGCCCTGTGTTTTTCCCTGATGGGACTCAGTAAATAAGTACTTAATAGCTTTCAGTTGTTTTTTAAAATTAAGTATCCCATCTGATGGATGGATATAGTCACACAAAATAAGGAAATAAGAGCCCTACTGGATTAGACCAAAGACCTGTGTAGTCCAGCACCCCGATTCCCATAGATACCTCTGGGAAACCCACAAATAGGTCATGAGTGCAGTAGCCCTTTTCTGCTGCTGTACTTAACCAGCTGGTCTTTAGATGCATTCTGTTTCTGGTCCTGGAGCCATCATAAGCCTTATCCTTCCATGCATTCGTCTAATCACTTTTTAAAGCCACCTGAGTTGGTGAGAATTGCCACCTTGTAACAAATTCCATGGGTTGACTGTGCTTTTGGAAAATTATATTAAAAGAGGAAATAAATCACATATACATTCTTCTGTCAATGGGATGTTAGCTCTTTTTGATAAGCTTTTTGCATGTGATGTAATCTGTATTAAAAAGGGTACCATTGCAGACTCCATAAGGTAAAGGTAAAGGTACCCCTGCCCGTACGGGCCAGTCTTGACAGACTCTAGGGTTGTGCGCCCATCTCACTCTATAGGCCGGGGGCCAGCGCTGTCCGAAGACACTTCCGGGTCACGTGGCCAGCGTGACAAGCTGCATCTGGCGAGCCAGCGCAGCACACGGAACGCCGTTTACCTTCCCGCTAGTAAGCGGTCCCTATTTATCTACTTGCACCCGGGGGTGCTTTCGAACTGCTAGGTTGGCAGGCGCTGGGACCGAGCAGCGGGAGCGCACCCCGCCGCGGGGATTCGAACCGCCAACCTTTCGATCGGCAAGCCCTAGGCGCTGAGGCTTTTACCCACAGCGCCACCCGCGTCCCTTTACAGCGCCACCCGCGTACAGAGAGCCAAATGTTTGAATGTTCCAAGTACTTCCTCATATGTGAAGCCAGATTGTTGGGGAAAACATTCCAGAAAGATGGGTAGGTGGTTGATGTCCCCAAAATGACTCCTTCCACTGCTTTGCCTGGTCATGGTTAGGGACAATTTAATAGTACTCAGAGTAATGTGCGTGCCACTTATTGCTTGGCAGGGCAATATAAATGACCTACAAATTGCTCCTGAAACCAGAGGTAGGCTAGGAAGTTGTCATTGGAATTCCACAGTAGTCTTGCTTACAATATTAATCTGGGCTGCTTTTAGTTAAGTGTGGTGGATCTATATCTTAGAGAACTTCTACTTTCAGAATAGGAAAAGATGTTTGTCTCTAAACACCCTAATATAGCAAGTTTTCTTATTTTTCTCTTAAAAGAACGACGGAAAAAGGCTTCAGCTTGGGAGAGGAATCTTGTGTATCCAGCTGTAATGATCCTGCTGCTAATTGAAACTGTAAGCTGTAATTTCCTTCCATTGCTTAAAACCCACCTGTCCTTTTGAGATTAGTGATCTTTTTCATGTACGTGTGTGAGCTGAGTAACAAAAATAATAAGGAACTGTTTTTGTTTTCCTAAGCCAGTGGTTCTCAAACTTTTTTCTCTGGGCCTGGGCCACACTTCCAGAATAAAAATTTGCTTGTGCACACCAATTTTTTATTGAGAAGAAGTACATTGGAAAACAAAAAGAAACAACTTCTATTCGTGCTTGATTTATAACATAGAACACAACTACTTTATAATATGATTGTGGGACAGCCAGAGACTATAAAACAATTATATTGATGTGATATGATACTATACTACACTGAAATGTTTAAATGTTTCTTTGATTGTCCTTGAATCTTCCACACTTGCCACCCTCTCCTGTCACACCCTGTGGGAACCACTGCCCTAAACCATTAGCACTCAGTTTTCCTGTCCAGTACAGAGAAGAAATGGTAATCAGTGTGAAATACAGCAAATATTTTTGAACCTTCATGACTTGATGTTTCTTTTTCTTTTTAAGGCAATCTCCGTCCTCTTGGTTGCTTGCAATATTCTTTGCCTGCTGGTTGATGAAACTGCAATGCCAAAGGGGTCAAGGGTAAAGTGTTATTCTTTTGTGATATTAACACCAGCAAAAGGCACATTGACAGCACAATCTAATACATGCCTACTTGGAAAAGTCCCATTGAATTCAGTGGGCTTCAGGAAAATGGGTATAGAATCGCAGACCTGTGTTCAGAAGTATGAATTCTGTCCCTGACTTTGAGTTTAATAGCAGTCACACAACCTCAGGTTTTCATATTGTGAAGTGTGCTTCGCACATTGTTTGGCATGTGGGACATATCTAAATAGAATAAAAGGAACAATCTCAATAATCAATGTTGGAAGCAGCAGCAGATGTGTACAGGTTAATAATGGACAGAGCTGTTTGTTTGTCACCATTAACACCACAGCTGGTGGGGAAAGCTGTTTAAAGTGGCATGGGATCACATCAGCAGCAAGACTGAACAAAGCTCCAGTTGTGTACAGTCACCCTTCTTTATATATATCTTAGTTATATTGTGACTTTTCTGTATTACTCTATTTACACATGGAGCATGATTTAGAAAGAGTTGCATTTACTGTTGAGACTGCAGTAGCCAGTAAGGCAAGCTGCTTTACAATTCCCCTGGTTTCCCTTTATTTGCGTCAAATTATTTGTGCATTTCAGTATTCTGAATGTGCACACTGGCATTCTAACATAGCTCATCTGGATGGAAAATAATTACGTTTTGGAATGTCTGGCTCATGTTTTCAGCCTTGATAGTGTGCGATTATTAATGGCTAGTGATTAGCTTAGTAAGAAGATTATCAGAAAATGATGCTTCCTAACTCTTCATTTTTAGTACTTCTGTCCAATGCGCTTGAGATTTCATGGGCAGAAAAATAATAGTGCTCTCTGTGTAATACTTTTGTTTCTTAAATCTTGCAGGGGCCTGGCATAGGAAATGCCTCTCTGTCCACATTTGGTTTTGTGGGAGCAGCACTTGAGATCATTTTGATTTTGTATCCTTTCTTAAAGTAGGCGTTCTTGTCTGTTAACAAGTATTCTGTCTAATTTTCTGGGACGCTGTTAATTTACTAAGACACTTGCCTAGAAGAGAGAAAATGACAGGCCGGTCATTCCCATGCACTCAAAAGTGGCTGTTATTCCTCTCTCTCTCTCTTTCTCTCTCTGCCCCCCTTCCCTTTGTGGTGCTTAAGTCTTCTAGGAGTCTGAAACCAGCATTCTTTAGTGGTTCTTTTATTCCTTGATTCTCACAGCTATCTAATGGTCTCTTCGGTTGTTGGCTTCTATAGCTTACGCTTTTTTGGAGATTTCACTCCCAGAAAGGATGACACAACGATGACAAAGGTAGGTTAAAAAGTCTGAGGTGCTGATGTCTCCCTACTCTTGCTTGCTGCCCATTTCTTCCACCCAAGGCAAACCTGACTCCCACAGATGGTAATTGCTCTGAATGGCTCATTTGTGGTGATTAGTGTTTGTAAGTTGCGTAAACAGACTAGAAGTTTTTTTCCAGGCCCTGAATGGTCTTGAGGGGGAGGGGAAGGAAGGAAAAGCCTTGTCCTGTTTAGTTTGGATGGCGTCCATTCACTTGTAAAGTGCTGGAATGGCCAAGCTTGTTAACTAGCCATAGAAAATCTGTTGAAGGGTTCCCTCCCCCCCCCTTGTATTGCTAATGAGTAACTCTGTGCAAACTGTACTTTAGGAGCTTCTTTGAAATGCAAAGAATTTGGTTGCTACAAGTAATGCAGGCAAATTAATTCAAATTGAATAACTAAATCAGAAGTAGTTTTATTCAGCAACACTTTTTATTCTGAGGCTACTTTGACTTTTCCAGAACTTTATAGTGGCTTTAGAAGAACTAGTGCTGGGGTGTACACATTAAAAAGTCATTCCCACAAACAGAGCAAAATTATTTAAACTGAAAACCTACTGTCCATTAACTTCTGAATTTTTGAGACCCCCTTTCTCCTTCTCTCCTTTCTTTTTTGTATTCAAAGAATTGGAGGAGGGGGGAAATATTTGCTTTCATCTTGCAAGTAATTCTTGAAACAACTATAGATGATCCTTGATTAAAAATGTTGAGGAATCCCAATATATATGCTCAGCCCCTTCACATACAGCATGTTAGAAAAATGCTCATCACATATTTATGTAACCCATGATTAATGTGTGAGTGTCAGATTCAACTACCCACTGCATAAACGGAAGCCAGTGTAAGGACTCCCTCTGGTGCAGTGGGGCTTCCCCCCTCCTTACCCCTGTGCCTCCCTCAAATCTGCTCTGGAGACTCCAGAGACTCCAAGAACAGTGTGAAGGAGAAGGGAGATGATTCTGCCGGGCAAGGAGAAATATTTGCATTGATGGAACAGTCTCCTGGATGCTGTGTTGAATTACCCCCTAAATCTTGAACATGTAAGCAAGTGTTTCTAGAAGTGGCCTTAAATGCCATAAAAAATAAAAAATATTTTTTTTTTTAAATATCCCGCCCTCCCCAGCCGAAGCTGGGCTCAGGGTGGCTAACAACAATAAAATAAGACAACATTTTAAAATCATTTCATTAAAAAATTACTTCAAATCAAATTGATGGCAACCATTGGGTAGAGTTCTGTGAAGATTGCCAAAGGAGGGAGTCAGGCTGTGCCCTGGCCAAAGGCTTGGTGGAACAGCTCTGTCTTGCAGGGCCTGCGGAAAGATGTCAAGTCCCGCAGGGCCCTAATTTCTTGTGGCAGAGCATTCCACCAGATCGGAGCCACAGCTGAAAAAGCCCTGGCTCTGGTTGTGGCCTGGGACCTCCAAGATGTTTTTGTTTGAAGATCGTAAATTCCTCTGTGGGACATACCAGGAGAGGCAGTCCTGTAGGTACGAGGGTCCTAGGCTGTATAGGGCTTTAAAGGTTAAAACCAGAACCTTAAACCTGATCCTGTACTCCACCGGGAGCCAGTGCAGCTGGTATAGCACCAGGTGAATGTGATCTCGCAGCGAGGACCCCGTAAGGAGTCTCGCTGCAGCATTCTGCACCCACTGGAGTTTCTGGGTCAGTCTCAAGGGCAGCCCCACATAGAGCGAGTTACAATAATCCAGTCTGGAGGTGACCGTCGCGTGGATCACAGTGGCTAGGTCAGGGCGAGAGAGGTAAGGAGCCAACTGCTTAGCTTGGCGGAGATGAAAAAATGCCGCCTTTGTTATAGCTGCAATCTGCACCTCCATGGAGAGGGAGGTGTTGAAGATTACACCCAAACTCTTAACGGACGGTACTGGCACTAATTGCGCCCCCACAAGAGATGGGAGTTGCCCCCCCAATCCCATATCGTCCTGACCCAGCCAAAGGACCTCTGTCGTCGAAGGATTTAACTTCAACCTGCTTCCACGTAACCATCCAGCCACAGCTTCCAAACATCTGATCAGTGTCTCTGGGGCCGAGTCAGGATGGCCATCCATCAACAGATAGAGTTGGGTGTCATCAGCATACTGATGGCAGCCCGACCCAAAACTCCAGACAAGCTGGGCGAGGGGGCGCATAAAGATGTTGAAAAGCATCGGGGAGAGTATCGCACCCTGAGGGACTCCACACACCAGGGAGTGGCGCGATGACAGTTCCCCCCCCAAGCGCCACCCTCTGTCCCCGACCAGAGAGAAACGAGCGCAGCCATTGAAGGACTGTGCCCTGGATCCCCACGTCGGCAAGGCGGTGGTCCAGGAGTTCGTGATTGACCATGTCAAAGGCTACTGACAAGTCTAGAAGAATCAGCAGCCCCGACCCGCCTCGATCCAGCTGCCTGCGGAGATCATCTGTTAGGGCGACCAGAGCCGTCTTGGTCCCATGACCAGCGCGGAAGCCGGATTGGAATGGATCCAGAGCCGATGTTTCATCCAGAAACCTACCAAGCTGTTCAGCAACCGCTCTCTCAATCACCTTACCCAGGAACAGAAGATTCGAAACCGGGCAGTAATTGGATAGATCTAAAGGATCTAATGATGTTCTCTTTAAGAGTGGGCGCACCACTGCCTCCTTCAATTCCCCTGGGAATGTCCCGGTGCCAAGGGACAAATTGATGATACCCCCTAGGGGGGCCCGCACCTTGTCTGGACACGCTCTAATCAGCCAGGACGGGCACGGATCAAGAGGACAGGTGGTGGGCTTTCCAGCTCGGAGGAGTCTGTCCACATCGGCTGGGGATATCCGGTCAAAGTGGTCCAATACTGGACCCGAGGACAGTCGAGGGGCCTCCAGTTCCGTTATTGTATCCAAATTGGCAGGGAGGTCACGGCGGAGCAACAGGACCTTCTCCGCAAAAAAGCTCGCAAATGCCTCACAGCTGTGTGCCAAATTGTTATTTAAATTTAAATAAACTATACAGTGATTTGTATCAGCCCCCCTGCTTCAGCACACAGAAGGATGCCCATTACGGTTTCATCTCTTGATCTGCAGTGGTTCTTACCAGCAAAGAACCCAAAGATTCCTTTGGGACCAAAAACAGCAGCAAGTCCAGCCCTTCTGCTCATTTCAACACAGAGACCAAATGCCGTTCTGGATGCACAGAGGCTGGAATCTCTGTATGTTAAAAAGCATCTGTGGCAGAAATAGGGGCTTAGTATGCCGTCTTTGTGTTTGTATGATACAGTATATGCCAATATCTAAAGTCCCTGTGGTCTATATAAAATTTTTTAGAGGAGACTTGAGCAATATTGGAGAAATGCAGAGGAAACATTAACCTTAGGGAAGGGCAGACTTTAAAATCAAATTAGAAGAAGCTGGGGTGTGTTTTCAGTGCCTTACTTGGTAGACTTAGAGCTCATCAATCATATTGAAATCCTTTTGTTTTGTTTTGTTCAAACAGATAATTGGGAACTGTGTTTCGATCTTAGTCCTCAGTTCAGCTTTGCCAGTTATGTCAAGGACACTGGGTAAGTCTTATTTCTGTTTTTTAGAGAACTCTTTATTGAGGTGTGTGTAGTTTGTTGTCATTGCCTACAGCTCAGTAAATGGTTTCAGTCATATTTTCAGGAAAGAAAATCTAGGTACAACTTGAGTGTCTTATGAAACAGCTTTCTGAACATGCTTTGCTGGAGCTCTTAAGCCAGTGCAGACTCTGATCATTCTTCCCATGTCAGCGCCATACTTTGAGCATTACTGCTGGGGTTCCAGAAACACAAGCAGCAATGCCTAAGTTTCCTTGTAAGCCTGTGGCTTGGGTGGTAGGCCCTCTAGGGACAGAGTTAAGAGGAAAGATCCTGGGAAAAGTCAGCATATATTTGCTTAGTAGCACACCCTTGCCTTCTGTGTAGTGTAAGGAGGAAATATAGACAGTAAGAATCTTATACTGACAAACCCTGGGATTTGTGTGTGTCGATGTGTGCACAGACTTTATGGCCTGATTTCAAGCAAATTGTCCTCCAAGTGTGGCTAGCAAAGATTAAAAATAAACCAAGGCATAAATATTAGCAGTAAAAGGACAGGGCAGCAAAAGCCTAAAACACAGCTGTAGTCTAAATTTCACAGAGCTCAGTGGTAGTTTCCCACCAGCACCTGAAATCTGCCTCTGTGATAGGAATGGAGCAACTGATTCAAAGTGCCCCAGTTCTGAAGCTGAGTAGCCTGCCCTTGATTGATGGTATCAAAAGCTGCTGAGGGGTCTAGAAGTATTAACAAGGCCATACCCCTGTGTCCTTCAGGTGTCAGGGCAACCAAGCTAGTTTCAGTGCTAAAACTAGTCCTGAAGTCAAATGGAATGTAGACCATCAGGTTTGTCCAATAATGCAGTCATGCAGTTTAGAGGCCAGTGTAAGCACAATGGATAGGTCTGGGGTTGGTTGTGGAAAATCCAGATTCAGGTTTCTTCATAGCCACAAACCTCAGTGAGGTGGTCTTGTTGAAAAGCCACACAGACTGTTTCATAACACAAATGACCTTGTCATTGCGATAATAGGAAAACAACTGCGGCCACAGATAACAAAACTAATATACTAGGGCCATTACAATGGGCTGTACATTGTGCTACCTTTTGCAGACAGTCTGGAAATTTCAAGTAGCTCAGGTTACAGCTGCAAGGCTAACTGGGGTGGGTGGTGGGATCATAGTCCCCTGTGCTAGACTGGCTGCAGTGGTCCTCCGTCTTCTTTCTGAGCTCAGTTCAAAGTCTTGGTGCCCTTTAAAGCCCTTCATGGCTGCAGTGCAGTGACAGAAACTATCATTTGTGAGCTTCCGCTCCAGATTTCCTTGCGTTCTGAGATGTGGTGGTTTATAACAGGACAAGAGCAGTTTTAGTTGTGGGACCACACTGCCCACGTTTTGTAATATCCTCCTTCAGGAGACTTGCCTGGCACCATATTGTTCTTTTAATGTTTAGATTCTGAGGTTTCTGAAGACCATTTCAGAAGTGCAGGATACAAATAAGACCTCTATAAATAGTTAGCAAATATGAGCTTTTCCGTCATAACTACTGATGATACTCACTTGCTAGATAAGTAGAGAAAACGAGGGAAACCAAAGGAAAGTAGCATCAACAACCTAGAAAGAGCTACTTGAGGAACTCTCAAATGTTTGATCATGCCTAGAGGCATATTTTCCCTTTAATGGAGCAAGCCCCCTGTGCTATTCCACAAACTGCTTTTGAAAGCCTCATCAATTTAGCAATTTTTCTTAACTTTTAGTACACATTTATTTAAATAATGAAGTGAGTAATTGCAGCCATTAGGTGTTTCAGCCTAAAAAAATGTGAGGGGTAAAAATAGGTCTATAATCTTTTGCTGCTGAGGCTTTCTAGGGGGTTGGGAAACCTTATATTCATTGTCAACTGGTATGAAGATGACCTTCTTATAGAAAATATAATCAGGAAAAAAATGAGTGTGCCACATGCACACAAGAGGATGTGTCATTGCTGCTACACAAAAAGCAAATTAAAGGCAAGACTCCCTAGTTCCCTGCTGAGGGACACAAATGAAATTCCTATATTGTTTGCCATAGAGATAAAAGGAAGGCTAAAACTGCAAAGATGAACAGTTAAAACACAGCTAACAAAATGCACATACACAGCTGTCCAAACAGGATTAGTGGAGTGCATTAGGGTACAGTGAGTCATGTGGTGCTTTGCAGAGTCTCAAAACGCACCACATTGGATGCTATGAAGCTTTTCATAGGATGAGTAAAGCAGGCTTCTGGGTGATAAAATGAGGAGGGCTCTTGTCATAATGGGAATGGCAAATGGGAAAGTAAAATTATCTGTATTAGAACATTCAGTGACTTTCACCCCACCATCAGCCTAACAATGAACCAATCTATGCAAGAAATACATATTCTGGACACTACTATAAAAATACAGGATGGGTGCATAGACACCACCTTATACCAAAAAGCAACTGACCTACAAACGTATCTACATGCTTTCAGCTACCATCCCAAACATAGCAAACAATCAATTGTATATAGCCAGGCTCTACGTTACAGCCGCATCTGTTCCAACTCTACAGACAGGGATTCTCACCTAAGAGATCTACAGCAAACCTTTTTGGAACTAAAATCTCCGCCTGATGAAGTTAAACAACAGATCTACAAAGCCAGACTGATACCCAGAGAGAACTTGCTGCAAGACAGACCCAAAAGAGAAAATAACAGAACACCACTGGTAATCACATACAGCTCCCAAGTTAAAACAGTTCAACGCATCATCAGAGATTTACAACCTCTCCTAGACAACGATAGTTCTCTTTCTCAAGCCCTGGGAGGAAGGCCTTTCATTGCCTACAGACAGCCACCCATCTTAAACAACTCCTCACCCACAATAATACAGCAACCAGACTTTACATGGACACTGGTACCAGAGCCTGCAATAAACCGAGATGCCAACTTTGCTGCCACATATACCCAGACAACACCATCACTGGACCCAACAACATCAAACATACCATCTTAGGCCTATTTAATCGCTCATCTTCTGACATTGTGTAAGTTATCAAATGTCAGCAGTGCCCTTCAGCTCTCTATACTGGACAAACAGGCCAAACCCTACGCCAAAGAATAAATGGACATAGATCTGACATCAGGAATCACAAGACAGAGAAGCCACTAGAAGAACACTTCAATCTCCCAGGACATTCAATACAGGATCTCAAAGCAGCTGTCTTATTACAAAAGAATTTCAGAAACAGACTTGAAAGAAAAATTGCTGAATTACAACTTATTACTAAACTGAAAACTATGGAGAGACCTGGTCTGAATAGAGATATTGGATTCTTGTCTCATTACATATGCTAAAGCTATTTTTGGTCATCTGCATCCTATCCCTTGCTTTTTCCTGTAGGACTAATTGCAGTTGTTAACAGTCGTCAACAGATTTATCATACCCATTGAGCCAATCAACCATCTCCTACTACCCTTCTGAGAAAAACCCCACCCCACCCTCCCACTATATATAAGGGTCTGGTGACTTCTGTTTCAGTTTATCTGAAGAAGTGTGCATGCACATGAAAGCTTATACCAGAACAAACTTAGTTGGTCTCTAAGGTGATACTGGACAATTTTTTAATTTATTTCGATTAAAGTATTTGGAGGTCATTTTTCAATCTTAGATATCACCCTCATTCATTTGCTTTTCTGAATTATGTCACATTCTCTTCTCCCTGCAGGTATTACTAGGTTTGATCTCCTTGGAGATTTTGGAAGGTTTAACTGGTTAGGAAATTTCTACATCGTGCTATCCTACAATATCCTCTTTGCCATTGTGACAACCCTGTGTCTGGTTAGAAAGTTCACCTCTGCAGTTAGAGAGGAGCTTCTCAAAGCATTAGGTAACATTTGTTCTCTTTCTTTTGATAGTCATATTGTACATAATTTGAATGTAAACTATCCCTCTAGAGTTATAGGGAAAGTAATTTGCCTGGTGTGGGTTTCCAGCTTCCTTCATGTGGTATAAAAAGACATATGTGGTGAGTGGTTCTGGGTTGAGTTCACCTAGTTTATTCCTTTTAAGAAAACAATTTATTTGTTTGATTTTATCCCATCTTTCTGTCAAGTGGTGCTCAAGGCAACTTATAATGAAGCAAAAGTAAAAATAAAAACAACTAAAACAACTAGTTGAGCCAATTGTTTTGCATACTTAGTGTCTATATCAAGCCAGCTTATGAAGCCAAAAGCCTGTTTGAGTAAAAGCTTTATCTACCATCAGAATGTAGTAATAATAATACTATTATTATTATTATTATTGATAAAAATAATAAAATTATTATTATGTTAGTTATGATCTGCAAAAGCCTACACAATTTTCAGGCCAAGTAGTTCTCTGGCTTGTCATGATTTAACAGCCAGTACTTTTGAATTTTCCCTGGGAGCAGACTGGTACCAATTGAAGTTCTTATAATATGGGAGTTGCATGCCACCTACAGCTTGCCTTGTTCAATAGCCTGGCTGCAATATTCTGAAGCAGTAGAACTTTCACTGTTCAGTCAGCATCATGAACAGCACATTACAGTAGTTCAGATAAGATGTAACTAAGGAATGTGTTGCCACAATCAAATCCACCAACACTGAGAGTGGGCACAGGATATTTCTTATCAGGTTTTGACATATCAATTGGTTTGCATTGGATAATGATGCAAAAGCTGGGAAGCTTTGAGGTGGAAATTTAGGAATTGCGAATTAAAGACCACCAGAGACTCATGGACAGAGAGATGTTTTGAGTAGACGAATGCTCTGTTCTGTTTTGCTTTTCAAACTGCATGATGTAGTTTATTGTTTTACAGTTTTTGAGGCTTATTTTGTTACTTGAAAATTTAGTAATAATGAAATTGCAGATGTATGGATTCAACTTCACATTAGAAATCAATAGACAAAGCCATGTAGAATGTTCAGTATTTGTTGTGTGAAAGTAAGATGTGATGGAAAGCTCACATACAGCTCCCCTTCCCCTCTGTAATGACTGATAGAATTTAAATTTGTATAATGATGCCATGACATTCTGCTTCTCCCGTCAGCAACCAAATATTTAGACCTGGGGAGAGGAAATACCTCTTATTATGACTTTACAGTGTTTGCAAGTTCTACTAGACAGTTGCATGGGGCAGTTAAGTTGCACAGATGCTGTTCTTGTGCCATTTATAATCCTGTCTAGTTTCTCATGTTCTCAGATAAGGTCTCCACAGACAAAAATCTTCAATTTATTTATGTATTGGAACGAAGACTAATGTGATTTTGAAAACACCTATACCTGTCAGAAGTGAAAGAGAAATTTAAATGGACTGTCTTTTGAAATGTTTTGCAGGTTTAGACAAGCTTCACCTCTCACACAATGCAAGAGACTCTGAGGCTGCAAAGCCATCTGTAAACGGGCACCAGAAAACACTGTGAAAAGCAGGTGGTGGAACCGAGCCCTTTTGACTTCATGACATTCCTGTCACTTCATAGCACTTGTTTTTGTATTGCTTTTTCTTGTTTGTATATTGGGTCCAAGTTGATAACAAAAAAAATTGCACCCAAGAAAGCTGGGTGTATCAGACTGTACTCTCTTCTTGCTCAGATTGATCCATGTTAAATTACTGTGTCAGCTGGCGCAGAATTGTCTTGAAACCTGGAAGCGGAAAAGAAAACTCCATTCCTCTTTGGATCCACCTCCATATTGATCTATCAACATATTAGGCCAAGAATCTCCTGAGCATAAACCCTTTGCTGAAGAATTAGGCTGGGTGTCTGAGATGAGCCTTGCAAGTTGAAAATGGCAAATCCTTTACTAGAGTTGCTGCTTTTTCAGTAAAATTGCATTATGAAAACGGACAACTTATAGAGAATATGGTAAGATCCAGGATCAGTACATTCATTGTCCGTCTGATGAGTTTCCACTGTCATTGTGTCTTAAGATACCAGCAGTTCCTGGTTCTAAATAACCAACTGGCCTACAGTTATCACTAAAGGTAACTTCCACTGAGACTCATGAATTACACAATAACGTAAGCCTAGGTTGCAGTGCTAAATTGTAATTTCACAGACCTCTGATTGTTGTGTACATAATCATGCATTTTAGGGCAATCACACAACTCCATTAAATGCACAGAGAATTCTGTTCATTCCCTTCTGTGTAATGTGTCGCCTTATATGCATAAGCAGTGAGAAAAGGATACCATAGCACACAACTTCCACAAGTGTTAAAACAATTATCCCACTCTAGGTGCCCTGGGTTAAGTGTGCAGTGCATTAGACTAGACCATTTTTTCATTGTTTCCTTTGTTGATCTATCTTTTTAAAAAACATGGAGTAATCAGGTAGCAGATTATAAACTCCAGTTTTTTAAATATGAAAATATAGATTCCAATTAAGGCATGCAATTTTCATTGATATTGTTACACTTTAGCAAATCTTGTGTGTAACATATGAATCTGAAGGAAGTTAGCATACATACTGTGAGTAGAGGTAGGTAGATTGTAAAGGCTAGCATGACATTTTATGAAACTTTGCTGAAGGTTTGTAGTTCTTGGATGATGAAGTGACACTGGCCATTCATAGATGAGCACATTTTATAAGTTAGATCCCATAAGGTTAACTGGATCTTCACAACTTTAATGTTTTACCTCACTTTGAAAATATCAGTATTATATTAATCTCAGTAAGTCCAAAACTGGGTTTTGATGTGTTGTACAATGTTGAAATAATTCTGCAAATTATCCTGCTTTTTAAGAAAGTTCAGAATGTTACTAGATTCATTTGGGCTCACAAGCATTTTCTACACTGTTTGAAATCAGTGTAGAGTTCCTGGATAATAGACACTATTCTAAGTTTCATATGATTTCTTATGAAAATTAATCTTGCATTAAATTTTGGAAGGTAGCATTTATAGTAAATACATTATAGAATTTTTTCTAATATTGTCAGTGGAAATGACAACTAGAGCAGATGCAGGACAGAACTTATTTTCATAAAACTGTTTCTGGGAACTGGAATAAATTGTAAACTGGGGGCTTTTTGCCACAGTGGAAGATGTAGAGAAATCGACTCACTCAGTGACATTGTTAGGGTAATCAGATTAAGCCAGGATATGCACAAGTGCTGTGCACCACATACAGCACCCTGCACATAAGTGGGGAAAGAAGCCAGGAAGCTGTAGTTATGAGTTAACTATAACTTCACATCACATGCAAATGGGAAAATTAATGGCTTCTGAACCAGCCAACTTGTGGATAAGCTTGTTTGGAAGCTGTTAAGCAAGGGAAGTTGCAATGAACTTCTGCTTCCTGACTTGTTTTTCCATTCACATTCACAGCATTTGATTATCTGAACCAGGCCCGAGAGTTTAGATATTGAGACCCTGTATCTCAGTTTGAAATGGTAGTAATTGGTTTTAGGATTTTTAGTGTGCTTGGCACCTCCACTCAACACCACATTGAAACATAATTGTTCATGCCGTAATAGTAATATGCCTACAGGAAAAAAAGTGGATTCTGTATAGTAAAGGTACATCAACAGTATGCTTATTACCATAGCTACTGCAGTCAACATATAGATGGATCCAACTGAATTTGAAAGCATTTGTGATTCTGTGGCTATCATTCTTTGGACAAAGTTCATACCAAATTACTGAGAATTTTAATCCATGTTCTTCATAGGTAGAGAGTTGACTTAGACAAATTTGCAAATTAAACATCAAAGACAATAAATGCAGATGGCATGAGGAATCTCCGTAAGTACCTTAATAAACTTGGGTTAGTTCACCTGTAAGTGCTGTACTGTACAGCCCCATTCAAATCAGGAGCTGTGCAAGAGGAAACGCTTCCCTGAAAATGTTGCCTTTGGTTATCCTGGGGTGGTTAGCATTAATGGTACATGGTATGAAACCTGCCCCCATCCCCAAAAATCATTTGATTAGTGAAGGCTCCATCTCAATTCTTATAATTTCTTAGGATCAGGTGTGCAACTTATCCTATGTACTGGTTTGCATCTCAATCAGGGGTGGGGTACTTTCTTTCCCTCTCAAGGGCCACTTTTGGGACAATATTTGTGGTGCTAAATAGGCCAGTGATGGGTAGGACCTCTTCCTCCCCTTTCATTCCCTGCCCCTTCCCAGCCGCTTGCATGAAATTAGGCCAAAGTCTAAGCTGCCCCCTGTAAAGTTTTAATGCCTTTGGCACGAAAATAGGAGGGATCTATCTAGTAATGTGACCAGTGCCATTGCAGCAAATCATTGTTTCCTGCTGATACAAGAATAATACAGGCCATCTCACCCTGTGAAATTGAAGTATAAGCTGGCTATTGCTGCCTCCCACACCCAAACTTACACAAAAATCCACAATGCATCACTCTGGAGATGCATGTGAAATAAGAGTCACTGGAAGGGGGGCAGATTCAGCACCTCCCCCCATTATAAATATATGTGATGGTCTCCTGTTCCTTGACTTTGTCCATGTGAAATTGTTAAAATTGTCATTTTATCCCTCAGTTGAAAATTATTTTACAGATGAAGTTCTACTTTCAAATATAGTGATAAAAATTACACGTAAATACTTAAAGTTATAAAGGCTTAAATGTGTTTAAGTAGATGGTAATTAGTAATTCTTTGATGGATACTAGTAATGTATTCCTAGTGGTTTGACTCGTGTAGTCAAGTGTTTTGTACCTTTTTTTTAAGGTACAAAAACCTCTACTTCAGTCATAAACCATCTGCCTCGTTATGAGGCTAAAGCACAAATATGCTTTTCTTGTATGAGCTAGATGTATATCAAATCAGACCAAAAATGTATGCAAGTTAAGTGTCTTAAGTGCGCCATTGTTTGGCTTTCTCCTCCACTGGTACACTGTGTTAACACAGCGTGACAGAATTGTTGTTGCAAAGTCTGAGCACATCTTTACTCTCTAGCTTTTTAAGCTAATGTCAAGCAGACATAGAGGGGTTATTTAGAAGTTGGCTTCACTAGGACACTTTGTTTACAGATTGTAATGTGACGTTTACCTTCACCTCTTTCTCCAATCTCTTTTACACAGTTGCCTGTTTTACAGTGTCAATTAAAGGATTTGACAATATGTTCTTCTACAGCTTACTTGGTTCAGAGGTGTTTCATTCAGCTCAAGCTTCATAATGGTGCACCTTGTCTTCTGTTCACTTAAAACACTTTGACATTGTGTACAGCCTGGTATTGAGAACATCTTACAGATGTTCTGCCTGCACTGAGATTTTTCTGTTCTCTTCTTAGGGAGCTTGTGAATTTTCTTCAGAAGAAATGGGGAGTGCATAGCAATGTATGTAGTTGTTTGTATGGGTGAAGTTTATGGACAAGAAGATACGCCACCTTTACAAATGTTTGGGATGTACCATTAATGTGCCCAGGAACACTTTTTAAATAGAGGATGGATGAAAGCACATCCAGGTAGGGGAAGACATACATCCCATGATTTGAAAGCTGACCACAAGCAGAATCTTGTAGAAAGCTCTGGAATACTAGGAGTGCTGGTTCCTCTCCTCACTCCTGTACAATACCTTTTTGATGTATAGTGTAAGGAGATAAAACCAGCGTATTCCTACTTAGTTCCTTTCTGGCTACTCAAGAAGGAACCTCTTTACACAAGAGGTTCCTTCTTGAGTAGTCAGAAAGGAACCAAGCAGAAAGACACTGGTTCTATCTCCAAGTGAGTTGGAATTCTCTTCTAGCATTTCCTCATTGCCTTTAAACTGGTGCTGTCTTTTCTAGCCCCAGTCTCTAGCCTGCTGTCATACTCACATCATGGTGAGTGTTGGGAATAAAATTCTTTTGAGTGTATTTGGCTTGTGCCTCACTCACCTGGGCAAGGAGCACATGGTCAAATCTTGCAAGTATTGCCAGAAATGGGGAAAAAAAAACTTGCTGGCTTCACACAAAGCATTTTTAGCTACTGAGAACTGCCTCAATTGTCTCTTTACTTGCTTGCCTCCTATTCCCATCTCTTGGTGAGCTTGTTATTCTTCCCATTTGAAACTCCGTAGAACCCACAAGCAAAAGTTACCTTCCTGTTAACGATCCTTCAAGTGGCTATCCTGTGGGATAAACACAACAATTCTTCAACCTTGTGGGTTCTTTTATATTTTGCTGAAAGCTGCCCAGAGTGGCTGGGGCAACCCTTATCAGATGGGTAGGGTACAAGTAATATAATATTATTTCTGTTTTGTGAGGAACTGACTTTATGGGAGAGAAAAGCTCTCTTCAGGGATTGGGATGGTGGTTCTGTAATGTGACTGCCTGCAATGTGGAACAATGGGAATGACTCATGAACGGCAATTGCAGCAGGGAAGTTTGTAGAACCCTGTTCTAAAAATAGGAATGGTGATGAAATGGAGCTAGCATGTATTTACAGCCAACTAGTGAAATGCATGAAATGACCCCCCAGGTTGCTTACAGATTTGAGGGTTTGAGCCTTTCTTCCCAGTTTCAGTGCTTACTCCTTGGCATAGGCGCCGACTCCATGGGGCCTGAGGGGGCTCGAGCCCCCTCAAAAAAATTTTTGGGGGGGCTCAGCCCCCCCAATAATCTCGGGCGCCCTTCCAGCAGAGCGCCGCCGCCGTCCCCCGCCTCCTCCCCACCTGCTCCCTCGCCAGCCAGCCAGCCAGCCGCGCGCCCTAGTCGGAGAGCCCCGGCCGTCCCCCGCGAGATTAGGGAATCCCCGGGGGCGGGGGCTCCTCCCTCGCTGCTTCGCAGCACCACCGCCACTGCCAAGGCACTGCCGGGGGGAATTTCCTTCCTCCTGGCGGTTTCAGCCCCCGCGAGAACAGGGGAATCCCGACTGGCCACACCTCCCAGCCAGCCAATCGGCTGGCTGGGGGGCGTGGCTTGCCCTATTTAGGGCCGGAGCCACTTTATTTGCATATTCATGAGCTTATTTATTATTCATGAGCTTTCCCGGGCCCCCCCCCCAATATTTTTTATAAGTCCACGTCCCTGCTCCTTGGCAGGAACTGAAACCTCTTTCCTGCTTGGGAGTCTGTGTGGGACGAGATTGAACATGGTGGCCTAGTTGCTACTGCTACCACACTTGCAGTGTCCTCTGCCTTCAGTCTCTGGTTTCGAGAAACTGGTTGAAAGGGATGTAAATCAATGGCTATGTTTTAATTAAGGCCTGGTAAATCCTTCCCCCATAAATCTGACATCTCTTCCACCCCTTTCCTGATTATGGGAAAATACGCTGTACCCAATACTATAAAAGTCCATCCCTCTCTGAATTGCCAGAAGGCCTGTGACAGCAGTCTTTGGTTATTGACATAAACATATGCACAAAGGAAAAACTTGTGTGGCAGCTCTTGCTGAAAATGGCAAGTAATTCATATATACTTGAAATACATTAATATTTCTATAATACACATTCAACTAAGGCCTACTCAGAGTGGACCCATTAAAATTAATGGACTTAAATTTCAATGGGTCTGTTCTAAGGAATATGACCAGCATTGGATACAACCCAATGCCTTTTTTCAGTTACCTTGAAAAATTATATTAAAACATTAGTTAAGTATTTTCTTCTGATAATGGGAGCGGCATAAAGGACATATGGGTCTTTCTCCCAAGGAGAAGTCTTCAAATGCTTGAACACAAGTACTATGAAACATGTGGGAACAGGAGAGCAGAACGGTCTTGCTGGAGCATGATGGGTAGCTGGCTTGGGGAATTCCCTCCTGCAGGTGAGTGGGGTAGATGAGCGGCATAATGCAAATTGGGCAGTCAACTATGTCTTGCCGGAACGCCTGAAAGAAAATGGTAAGCATAGAAAATACTGAACTGGCTTAATAGCAGCACTTTGTATTCATACACAGTGGAAAATGTGGAACGTGGGGGGGGGGAGAAAATTGGCTTTGAAATCATCATTTTTGCAACAGCTCTTAAGCTGACAGAACAGTTGAAACTGGAATTATACTAGACTACACCAACTAAAGTCTGTCAGTCATTTCTGGTCAAATAAAAAAATACTCAAAATGTTTCACTGATGAAAGATGGAGAAAATAAATATTTAAATGTAGGAAAGACTTATAGTGGGTTTGTAGGGCAGGGCAATATCTGGTTTTCAACATCACGATATATCACCAGCTAAATATCACGATAAAATGTAAGGAAGTAGATTTAATAAAAATAAACTCCCATGGAATATATTTAATATATTTTCAACTTATTTAAGAGTAGTTTAAGTGATTTACTAGTCAAGTTTCATCTGCTTCCCCACTTGGAGGTCTAAGTGCAATCTATGCATGCATAGTGGGACGCGGGTGGCGCTGTGGGTAAAACCTCAGCGCCTAGGACTTGCCGATCACATGGTCGGTGGTTCGGATGCCCGTGGCGGGGTGTGCTCCCGTCGTTCGGTCCCAGCGCCTGCCAACCTAGCAGTTCGAAAGCACCCCCGGGTGCAAGTAGATAAATAGGGACCGCTCCGGCGGGAAGGTAAACGGCGTTCCGTGTGCTGCGCTGGCTCGCCAGATGCAGCTTGTCACGCTGGCCACGTGACCCGGAAGTGTCTGCGGATAGCGCTGGCTCCTGGCCTATAGAGTGAGATGAGCGCACAACCCTAGAGTCTGGCAAGACTGGCCCATACGGGCAGGGGTACCTTTACCTTTATGCATGCATAAGCCCAACTTCTACTTTCCTGGGAGTAAGTCTCAATGAATTCAGTAGGGCTTGCTTGTGAGTAGACACTCATTTGCTTGCATTGCTTACAGACACACTCCCCATCATTCTCACATAGTATCCAACCTCCCATTTCAGCATAAGGCAGGCAGCTAAATCTTCTCCCCTCCATCCCCCTCCACAGAAGGGCTCCCCCAAAACTCCCATACTACCAATCTCTCCCTTTTTATCAAAGGGAGGGAGGGCAAGCAAGCAAAAACTGTCTCCTATACATCAGTTTTTAAAATCTTCCTTTTTAATATGGAGGAAAGCTATTTAGGGGAAACCTAAATACGGTTTGAGGGTTTGAGCCTTTCTTCCCAGTTTCAACATAAACACCACCAGAAAATAAAAATGAAAACTCTACCCCCTCTTTTTTTCCACCAGTGGGGGGTGAGTGTGAGGGAAGAAAGAAGAGCTTTCCAGTTCTTTTTTTACATTCTGTCTACTTTGCTGCTGGATCTTTGATTGTCTAGCGCGGGGGGGGGGGTGTTCCTCCTGGACTGTTAGCAGGCTCTGCATAATTAGCAGACCTCTTGGGTGAGAGCAGGAAGTTAGGCTTAAAGAGTTGGTTTGTGTGTTTGCAAGGGGTTACCAACAGCCAGCCACTCTCCTTATTTCTCAGTGAGGTTGAGTGAGAACAAAGCAGAGAGAGATGGTGTGGAAGATACTGGTTAAGCTTAAAGAGTTTGCTGGTTTGTGTGAGGGGTTTGGAAGGAGTGAAGAGTGAGAGAGCAAACAAAGCAGGAGAGCTGATGCCTGCAAAGCATCAGCTGAGCTACCCTCTGCGTAGCTGTCAAGTCTCCACCTTTTGTTCTCTCCACCTTTTGTTCTCAGTATATTGCCTTGTTGAAACACTTATCACGATGTCATTTCAATACCAGTATTTGAGATGGCGATTTATTGCACAGCCCTAGTGGGTTGTGACTATTAAGATCGGGTAAAGAACCTCTGGCCCACAAGCCTAATTTCTGCATTTATAAAAGTATTTCTGTACCATCATATAAAATATCATCGTGGTGCTCAACTATAAAATATAAAACACATTTAAAAACAATCCTTAAAGTGACTTGCTAATCAAATTAAAGGTAAAGGTAAAGGTACCCCTGACTGTTAGGTCCAGTCGTGACCGACTCTGGGGTTGCGGCGCTCATCTCGCTTTATGTGCCAAGGGAGCCAGCGTTTGTACACAGACAGCTTCCGGGTCATGTGGCCAGCATGACTAAGCCGCTTCTGGTGAACCAGAGCAGCGCACGGAAACACCGTTTACCTTCCCGCCAGAGCGGTACCTATTTATCTACTTGCACTTTGACGTGCTTTCGAACTGCTAGGTTGGTAGGAGCAGGGACAGAGCAACAGGAGCTCACCCCATCGCGGGGATTCAAACCGCCGACCTTCTGATCAGCAAGTCCTAGGCTCTGTGGTTTAACCCACAGCACCACCCATGCCCCTAGGCTAATCAAATTAATCAACTGCAAATACCTGTAGGCATGATAAGGTCTAAAGTCACAAGCAACAATAACTGTCGAATCTCTGCTGGAAAATGTGCCATAGCATGGTAGCAGTGACAAAAAATACCCAATTTTTAGCAGAGACTGGTTGGGCCTCTGAAACATGGACAGCAACTACTGTATTGGCCTGAATATAAGCCTCTCTTTCCCCCCCAAATTCTGACCATGAAAAGTTAAAATGCAGCTTAAATCCATAACCTTACAAAAATTGGCTTTTATGATATCACTGCTGAAATAGACATATGGTAAAATGGAATGGGTGTGAGTGCCCACAGAATTTTAAGGGAGCAACTTATATTTGGGTATTCTCTCCCCCCCCCCCGATTTTTAAAGGTGTGGCTTATATTCGGGTGCAGCTTATATTCAGGCCAATACGGTAACTGCTCCTTGAGATGATCTCTCTGATCAAGCTGGGGTATAAGGGTTCAAGAGGTCCTTAAGGTACGTTCATGCCTCTGAATTTGGCCTATTCTGAGCGCGCATACTTATCTGTCAACTGACCTAATATGATCACAAAGACCTCTTTATTTTCAAGTTTTGGTGCTAAGCACTACAACTCTTAAAATCGGAGATTAGCCTGAACTTGTTCCTGGCGTGAAATCTGAATTGCCTGATCATATGATGTAAGATGGATAGCTCTCTCAAAAATGGCCCATGGAGGGTGGGTGAGTTCTGATCAAGCCCCAGCAGTGAAAAATGGTTCCCTGAACTTGCTCAATGGGTTAGATCACTAAGATGCCAACAATGAACAGGATGAAGGGTTAATGCAGCAAATCAGGTAACTACGCTGTGTGCTGGACAGGTGGTAGAACTCTAAGGTAGATTATGTTAAAGTTTCAAGAACGAGTTGACATTGGCAACCACCAATAGCTGGCTTTGCTGTCTGAACAGGGCACACTGATAATTATCTGTGCAGCGGTGTATAGTGGAAGCAGTTTTGGACTTGGATCAGAAAAAGTAGTCCACCACTTTGTTCAACTCCTAAGCTCATAGATAATGATGCAGGTGTAGCCCAGCCAGCCAATCCTCCCTCATGGGAGTATCACATGCACACCACCGGAAAAGGGAGGACAAAAATGTAAATAATAGGTACAAAAAAAGGCTGCTACCAGTCAATTAACACAAAGCGCAGGAGGCAGAGTCAGTCTTTTAGCTAGGTTGAGGTAATACACATTTTTGTCTCTGAAACCAACCTGCATCTGTATCTTTTCCCATTCAACTTCATCTATGCCTGGGCCCAACTTCTTGTCTAGCTGCTGAAACACGTTTTGACTTTCAGCTACATTAGAATCAATCTCGGAGAAGAGCTCATCTATGCGGGTATCGTATGAATTCAGTAATCGTTGGCAGATCTCTGAAAACTGAACGGTAAGACAAAGATTTTACTCCCACTGTAATAGGTTGCAAGCAGATTGGAAGAGTATATGAAGCATCAGTGCCAGGGTTGCCTCCATTGCAGGGAGTTAAGACACACCCTTATGGCTTAAATAATGAATCCTATTCCCTATGCACATTACTAGCTTTGTATCTGCTTCTCACCCAGAATGTGGGGCCACAATCCAGAAGGTGCTCTCAATCAGGATTAGGACCCTTTGCCTGTTTTCTACCTAAAACTGCCCCAGGCTATTTGACACTGAATGAAGTTTCCTAAATATTTTTATTTATTTTATTTATTCAATTTCTATACTGCCCTTCATCTGAGGATCATAGGGCAGTTTTCTTCCTGTCACTAAGACCAAAGTCAGTGTTTGCAATTAATCTATCTTTATTTCTGAAACATCCCAAAGTGTTCAGCAATAAAAACATTTAAGAAAACAATTTCAAATGTGATACTGATGAAAAATCTATAGTTAAAAGGCTTGTTGAAAAAGGAAGGTCTTCAACAAATACCAAAAATATAAATTTGTAATGTAAATTGTATTAAAAAATAATTTTTGGGGGATCCTAATGTTTTCCTTTCTGGACTGAATAGAGCATTCCCACGTCTCCTTCACCCCGGAACTTCCCCTCCTGGGGGTTGGGGAACTTTTGGGGATGGTTTGTGATATGGTGGTGTGGGCTGAAAACAGAAAGAGAGGTGGCAGAAACCACCCCATTCACTTTACATGAATGGATAAACAACTTAGAATCCAAGCAGTTATATGTTTTCTTCAAAGGAAAGGTAGTTAATTAATGGATAAAAGGAAAATATCCTGTTAAAAAACTGGGATATCTTTGTTTCCCAGAAAAGCTGTTTGGAAAAGAATGCTATATTGAAGAAATTAATTTTGTATCTACTTTGTGACCTCTCTGCCCTTCAACTTGAACAATATGACAAAGTGGAGGCCTTCTAAATATTTTTATCAATATGTAAAGCACCATCAGTCACAAGTTTTAGGCAACGCCCAAGAACAAGATTAAATTAAAGATGCACACAAAAGCATTGAGGTGAACTTTGTCCACCCAAGGGGAACCCTTTTAAAGCAATCCATCTTTATGTCAGCAAATTGCTTACTAATGTGTTGACTTTAAAGTAAAATGAAAAGACTGGAATTTACAGCATATCAATGAATCAGTTGATAAGCTTTTACTGGTTCAAAATCCTCATAGCCTTGCTGCCTGGAGCCACATCAAGTTAGCAACAGAATGTTTGCCATCTCTATGTGATAAAGGAAGTCAAATGGCTAAACAAACTCATGGACCATTATGCTGTTTGGTGAGATTTAAATTAAAATCTTTGGGAAGAAGTCACATGGTGGGGAAGGAGGATACTAGAACAAGCTGCACTGTTTTACAAATAATATACCTAGCTTCTTAAACAATTGTCTGCATTTTCAGCTAAGTTTAAGATAATGCATTTGAAAAGATTTAATTACAGCCATAAAATATCTTACTTCAATTAGATGACATATACAAGCAGAGTTCTAGATAAGGATCAAAGAAATTCACTACCAAGCACATTGAATTCTAGGCAACACTTCACTCTGTGTATACATTGGTGTTAAAAATTAGCATAGCTTGGTTGCAGTAACCTTTTGCAACCCCTTTGATGTTTATTAGTAAAATCTTGAATGGATTAATAAAAAGGCTACTGTGCCACAGTCAGACAAATAAAATACATTCTACTTAGCAGTGACATTTTAAACACAAGGTCTAACTGTAGAATTTCTTTACCAGTACAAAACCTGATCCTTCTTTTGTGTGTTACTGCCAAAGGAAGTCAATATATATTTTAATACATTTTACTCAGCCATCTTTTTGTAGCATTTTTAACTGTGTGGTTCTTTAACTTTTGAAAAGGTAAGACTTCCATATTAAAATGCTTTTTTGCAATCTAGAAACACCAGTTTTGGAGGATCACAGGGTGACATTAAAATCTTATGCATGTTTACTCAAAACTAAGGCATGCAAGGATTGACTTCTAGGTAAATGTGCAGAGGATTGCAGACTAAGTGCCTTAAGAAACTGATATTTACAGTGCAATCCTATATGTTTACTCAGAATTAAGCCCCACTGATTTGGATGGGACTTACTTCTCATGTAAGTGTACTGGATAGCTTTGAACCTACAGTGATTAATAGCGTGCAGAATCAGCCATAACTTTCACTTGCTAGTAAAATACTACATTATTTTTGTATATATCTAATGGAAATCTGTGTGCATCTTCATGGGTGCTTGAATTATAAATGATAAAACATATGAATAAACCAAGTTTCTCTTTAACTATGAAAGCCATCTTGTTGTTTCTGCAGGCTATGTTTTTTATCTTCGAAGTTGCTGAATCTATCAGTAGGTACTTGTAGATAAGTAATGTGAGCAACACAGATGATGCTGATAAGGACACATGCTCTTGATTTGTGTCATTCTTTTGGTCCTGCATGAATGTATCCAACAATGGCAACATCATGATTTCATGGAACAGATTAAGTGGTAAGGGACTGGGAGGGGCTGGTTGGAAGGCAGTACCTGTGTTTAAATTCTTGTATCTTTGCATAAGTAGCAGAGATATGAACAAGTCTTGTGTCCCCAAATACAGCCACTTCACTCCCCCACTTTTGTGAGCAAGCAAACATACCAGGAAGTCATCAGTTAATTATTGTTTCTCTATCCATTTTCTATATCACTTTCAAATCAGGAAACTACAGTTAACTGCTTTGGAAAAAGCCAAAATATGAAGCCAACTTCAAAATGCAGCTTGATATCCTAGCTTGCTCTAAAGCCATTAACTATAGATTTTCTGACAGAAAGGAAAATATAATTTACCAATGACTTTCTGGTATGCTTGCTTGTTGACACAAAGAGAGAAGAGCATAAGGGGGCACAAGGCTTGTTCATAGCTTTGAGACATATTGTATAGTGGAAAGTGGGGTTCAAATCCCTTAAATATATTAATATTAAATATTAAATATATTAATAATATATAAATAGCTAAGTTTATTACACCAAGTGTCCATGTAGAGGATGGTTGGTTATTACTACCTATCTGTCCATCAAACCTAGCAAGCTGAATGGATGGAGCAAAGTGAGTTGCAGGTGTTTCATACTCCACTCCTGGCATAGCATTAAGTCCATGAGAAAAGACCTGTTCATATATACAGAAGATAACAAATTACACAAATGCCAACTTTCCTAGTCTCAGGAGTGTTGCTGGAACACTCCTTCATTTTCTCTTGTCAACTGAATTCTGCTCTAGACCAGGACAGAGGGGGGAAAGGGATGCCTTCTCACTCTTTGCTCAAGGACAGTGTGTAGACCATATTCACATTGAGGGTATAAAGTACTGTCCTGCATTCTGGTCCTCTTAATAAGGCCTTTCCCCCCAAAAGCAGCCCATGGATCAACTGCAGTTCCTTCCATGGCTATTTGCAACTTCCTGAGAACTTCCTGGCTGTGCAGAGAGGAGGAAGAATATGTACTAGGACTGAGGAAAAAATAGAGACTAAGAAAAACAAAGAGTTAACAGTTACAATGTAACACCGGTAATATACCGGTAATGATGCTGCCTCTTATGTACAAGGCATCTGAGTGGTTTTAGTAGTGTGCCCCTGTGTTAGAAATAAGCAGCAAGGATACGGCAACTAAGGAAGAGTTGGTATGGTTGATCAGATTTTTTTTAAATAATGAAAACAGAAGAAAATCTGTAGAAGGAAAAGGCAAAGTTTACTTTATGGAGAGTCTGATGGGCCTGAACACCTATTGTCGTGTTTTTGTTGAAATTAATATGAAAGCTTCCGTGTGAGCTGTGTAGTTCAGTATTTCTCAGCCAGGAGGCATCCCATCTCCAGGGGCGTATGAAGATATTCTGTGTGTGAGTGTATTTCAATATATATATATATATATATATACAAGTAAAAAACTGAACATCATGAAATTTCCATCCATTTGAACATTAAAATAAAATAATTAGGAAAGTTGGGTTTGAAGTGAGTGGTGGGATTTCTGTATTAGCTAAAATGGGGCATCAGTTAAAACAGGTTGAGAAGCACTGTTCTAGATCATGGCCAGGGACTATGATTGTGCAAGCTGTGGCTCAGCCAACTCTTCTTTATATTTAGCTTTCTACCTTTAATTCCATAAGTGCATATTTTCAAGTTGTACAGATTGCATTTTAAGATTAAGACTGAAGCTTGATTAACATGTTACGTTTTGATGTGATAAAGTCACCTTGAGGTGATTTCCCCATATCAGTTTTGAGAGGCAAATATATTGTTTAAATATGCCCTCACATGGTGAGAGCTAGTAATTACTGTGACACAGTAAAGCATTGAAGCAATTTTTTTAACTAGGTGTGGGAAGATTCAAACCACGCATCTTAGATTGTAACTGATGCAGTAAAGTCAACTCAGAGTGATTTTGCTGCATTGCAAAGCAACATGATTGAACCTGAAAGGTCAGAAAGACAGAGAGCATGATGGGTGAGAGGACATGGCTTCTTATTGTCATAATCATTATTTCCTTTTGTTACAATATACATATGCTCTTAATATCCACAACTACTTTGTGTCTCTAACACTGGAATGACCGCTGTTGTTATTCTACATAGAAGCGATATCCATAAAAATAGATACTATGTGAATGATTTTTGGGAACTGAATCATATCATTAGAAGGGCATTGAATATGGTTTATGTATCAAACATGACTTTGTCTAACAATTAATCCTTTGAGAATATAATAAGAAAATCCCACAAAACTACAAAGTGTAAGATTCCCGCAGAACTAAGAATAACTATTTAAAATATTTGAAAAACATTTTTGTTTTCAGCTATTGAACTATGAAAGGCATTTGAAATTATTCCACATGGTAGTGTCCCCAACATATTTCTGTGTAGTGGACTGCTACACAAAGTGGAGACCTTTTCCCCAACATATTTCTGTGCAGTGGACTGCTACACAAAGTGGAGACCTTTCCCCCAACATATTTCTGTGCAGTGGACTGCTACACAAAGTGGAGACCTTTCTTCTCACTATCCCATAGTTAAAGGTCTAAACTAAAACTGAGATTAAATAAGAAGCACTGTAGCTATCCAGCTCTTCCACCATGTACTGTATAGGAGAAAAAACAAAAGAACACCTACCTGCAAGTTTGACTAAACATAAAATGCATGCAGAAGAGAATCTCCAGGAAAAACCCAGAGTCATTATATACTTTTTAAACATTATCAAGGTGTATTAGGTTTCCGCTGTATAAAGTATTAACTTATTCTGAACAATTTAATAAATGCTGGACTTGTTTTGTTTTTATAGCACTATAATTTGAGGTTGAGGAATCTGGGGAACATTGTTAAGAATTAAAAAATGCTACACATACCTTTTCTTCAAAGAATTTTTTTCTTAATTTGGCATCTTTTGGAGGCACTGTTTTTCTTAGCTTTTTATACCATTTCCTAACAATATGCCCCCGCCAAAAAGCTTGAATTCTGCAGCAAGAAAAGATACAGATTAAAACACCCAGAATGAAGGCTATAAATAGGGCTTTGCGATCTTTGGTGGCTCCTATCTTGGGACTAACAAATAGGATGAAAAAAGAGCTCATTTCTGTCAGCGGTGGCTACTTTAGAGGAATGGCTCTCTATTAAATGGAGCCAAAACTGCTAAGCAAATTTATGTGGCCACCATGCATCCAGAATGCATTTGCACCTGTTATTTTTCGTCTTCCACCACTACTGTAACATGACAGGCTCTCCTACAGCAGCAAAACATAGCCCTTGACTGCGAGCTCCTGACTAGACACTTCCATTTTTTACCATTTCACACCAATTATTGCTACTACAAGTTAGAAAGATTTTCTATAGGTAGAAATATTATTATGGTCTTTCTTTTATCTTTAAAATCTTGCTAGCAGGTCATTTGGTTTCGCATACATCTACCATCAAAAGCAGTGGTGTCCAAACTTGTTTCAAAGAGGGCCAGATTTGATGAAGTGAAGGGCCATGGGGGCTGACCAAAGTTGTTGCGCTTTTTTAGGATTGAAGTTGTTGAGCTTTTTAAATTTCTAGTAGTTTCGTAGTAACTACTGTTCCACTGCGCCAGTAGAGGCACTTGCATGGACCACATGGTCTGGAATAAGCCTGGAAAATGATTACACATTTTCTGAGCAAAATCAACCTTAACTTAGTATCTGCCTCAAAGTGAAAATCTGCATAGAAGCTTTGCATCTCTGCTTAAATATGAGATGATTAAATTGTAAAAATTAAATGTTAACCATTAAAATGTAAAAAAAAAAAAGGTTAAAGTATCATTCTCTAGCTCTGGTATAACATTGCACCCATCACTGTGTAGTGTCTTCTGTGTATGCAGATCTTCCAATAAATGTTTCTCAGTGAAAAGAGTTTTGTCATTTGCCAGTCATCCTTACCTTGTAGCACACTTTATTTTAAATAGGCGTGCTCCATCATGAATTACTCGGGTCTGATACTGGATCTTTCTACACATTGGACAGGTCTTTTTACCTGCAAATCTTTCAAAAGCTTTCAGGCATGCCTAGAAAAATAACATTCAGTTTTACCTTTAAATCTGCTTGAAATGTGTTCTCCCCCACCATCTTTATACATATGAGTTTGTGGGTACAATTTATGCAAAGCTTGCACAGGAACTAGCATCAGGGGAAAGTGAATGTACATGATGCTAAAATTGTGGAAACGGGTTATTTCAAAGTAATGGAACTGGAATGGGGAGAGGAGTTCCTACAATTCCTGATCTGTTTCTGTTCTTCCTGTACTTCCATGTTGTTTAGGCACTTTTTGCCATCCTTATTAGAGCACTACTCAGACTGCCAATTCCAGATTTACTTTAATAAACAGTGTTGGCTCTTTAAGAGGAATATCAGAATTTTAATAAAACTACTGTAATAAAATAACTATGAAGCAGCTAGAGTAAATAAAGAGCCACGCATAGTTAAATCTTGCAAATTGTTTATTCTTATACACTGTTAAATCTTGCACATTGTTGATTCTGATACACTTAACTATTAAATGGAATGCAACACTAGGTCCACTGACATAACTAGAACCTCAAGAGTGCATAACTACATGCAATTGTGGTACGTTTGCCTTTATATATATGAATGATAACATTTCACAATAAGATAAAGGACACTGATCCATCTCGCATGTAAAGCTAAGCCAAACTATGGCTTAGTGTGCTCCTCTTGGAGAACACTTCTTCAATGCTACCATGGAGAATTAAGCCATGGTTTAATTCAGCACATCATCTGAACCTGGGCTTCAGACAAGCTATGCGCTGTAAACCAAGATAGATTCATGATTTACAACATGCCATTGTTGTGTTGAGGAGACAAATCATGAGTCTGGGTTTGAGCAACACACTATGTTGAACTGCAGCTAAGCTTACAGCAGCAGCAGCATCAGGAACAGAGGAGGAGCAAAACAGCCAGAATCTTTTCTCCAGCAGTTCATGTATTCCTGCTAAACCACGGCTTGGCTTAGTGTTACAAGAAAGAGCAACCATCTCAAAACAGTATATCCTCAAATTATTTCAACTTGTGAATCTTAGAAACAAAAGCCTGACTTCAACACTTTAAATTCACATTAGTTCTACAATGTACAAGACTGCTTTGATGCACATTTCACTTTTAATAAACGTATGGTTTACTCACTTTGTGAAACACATGAGAACATGACAGCAACACCTGTTAGGAGTGAATAAAAACATCTTGTGAAACTTAAAAGTTCAAAAAATATATACTACTCTTGGTATAACTAGTGAAAATTGCCAATGGCATGTCAGATAAATAGCTTTCATTGAAGAAATAGAATATTTAGGGCTCAAACACAATTTGTAATTCTTTATCTAGCAAAACTTACATTAACAATTTGGGGGATTTGGCTAGAATAACAATCTGCAACTTCAGATCAAGAACAAAAAGTTGCAGTAACTACTTTGAAAAGTTGTTTCCTAACCTATATTGGCTTTCCCTTTCTTAAAAGCGTGATTGCAAGCAATTAAGAAATTCTACCTTAGTACAATCAAAATTCCTAAAAATGATCATGAACTCTGCTCAGGAAATGGTGGTGGTGGTGGTGATGATAATAATAATAATAATAATAATAATAATAATAATAATAAGTTTTTATTATTGACTATAATAAATAAACTTAAGGATCTTCTTCTAAAGTTTTTCAACTCCTGTGGCCTGCTTCTCTCTCCCCCCCCTGGTTTACAAAAATGGTGCAACTTTTGAGCTATTTCACAAAGCCTAGACCTGAGCTATTTATAGTAGCTACACAAGGTACTCTGTATTAAAAAGCATGTTCCAGCTCTTTGTTGACAGAAGACTACTTGGGGAAGAGGAATTCAATGCTTGCTCAGGAGTAGCAAACTATTCCATTCTCTCAGAAATGTTGGGAAGTGGTCCAACTTTTCCTATGCCCAACTTCAGCATGCATTCTATGAATACACATTGATACTAAAAGACCCTGTGCAGTGGCAAAATGGTATAATTTAAGTTTTGCTATCCTCTCCCAACGCTTTGACTGTGATTTCAGTCCATATTTCAACATATTCATAGGATAGCTGACTTAATGCTAAGACAGACAAAATACCTGTGGCTGAAGTGCAAATTCTTCTCTGCATATGGCACAAGGTTGAACTGAATCTCCTTGTTTTATGGATCGTTGTTTCACATGCTCCCATTCCTCAGTGGTTAGTGGCATGGCAGGAGGTTCCACCAACCCAAGTTGCTGAGCTATAGACACAAAGTCCAAAATATGGTAATGACATTGACACACATTAAATGGAAGCTTTCCTCCTTCTCTGTATACAAACATACATCCATATACCATGCCAGCACAGGTTTGAAAATAATGGCTCCAATGAAAGTAACAGAATAATAGGCAATCAGTGAATTAAACTTTATTTGTCCCTTTTTAAAATGGAATTCTGTTGGACAGCGTTCTTTCAGACAGTGTGCAGGCTGGCTTTAGTCCCACAAGAAACCACCAAAAATTAATGCTTTGTGCATGTGCACATATTAAATTTATTACTAATCTGAATATTAAAATCTACATTTAAATGAAAAATTAATTGATTTGTTTTATGAACCCTTAAGTCTCACTTATTCAGAGTGGCAGATGTGCCATCTGAAAGCAGCACTATAGTTTTTAACAAGTTTTTAACAAGCAAAACCTCTGACAATTCTTCAACTGAAGTTACTGAGAGAATATGTGCAGTGCAGGGTGGCAACAAACAAAATCCTGAACCAAAATTAGATGGTCAGAACATCTTAGTTTGTAGACTTCAGATCCCATCCCTGTAGGTATATTTGTATTTACCTACAATAGCACGGAAACCATTCCATGTTATGACTCACAGAAAGTGCATCGAACAGTTAAACAAATGCAGACTGATCAACTGATTGTAAATTTATTGGAACTTGGAGGCTTATTTGTTTGAACCAGCAGAAGGTGTGATTCACCCTTCCCCTTCCAACTCTACAATTCAATGACCTAGTATCTTGGTCATCAAGCCAGTTCAATGAAGTGTTCTTTGAAGGCAGTTATTAATCCTTTTTGCAGTTCTGAAAGATGTAACAGGCTTTAATGTTTCTGAGAAATCCTTTGTCATATATGAATTGACTTTCCTCATATATTGCCCAATAGTGGCAGCAAGCCCAGTTTGGGCCTATACAGTATGACTGCGCCAGAGATTTGTGTGCATGTCCAATCTGGATCCCTCCCAATTCTGATGGCTTTTTATTTGCATGGGCATTTGCTGTGCAGCTTAAAGGTGGGGTGCAAGTGCTTTAAATACACAAATGTAAGATGCTTTAAAAAAATGCAGTTGAGATATTAGCAGAAAGAAAGCTGCAGAAGAGGTCCAAGATGTAGGATGATGTACGGAAACCAAGATCTTAACAATTTTTGGCAGGGTTGAACTATGAAGTCCCTTTGCCCAGAGAGTTATGTGATTGCATACCTACATATCTTAATGAGCTTCCAGTTGCAGACTTCTAAACATACCTGTAAGTATCTAATGTGCTTGCAGGATTAGAGTGTTAAACCTCTGGAAATGCTTGAGTCACATTTTTTAAGTGCCGGGGGAAGGGATTGAAAGGGAAAGAAAGGCTAAATGCTTTTCTATTATTGGGTTAATAAGAGTGTGCTAGAAACTTTAGGAGTCAGGAAAGTGTAGACATTTGAGCTGGGCAGGCCTTCCTGATTGCCAGATAATATAACATGTTATCTCATGGCAATATTATGTGTTGCCTGTGCAACTCCTGTTTCCTGAGGCAGGATTCTAAGCTTCTGCATCCATGTGTTTTTATTATGAGACACGTCTGCTTCTTGATTTGAAGTGTTTAACTACAGGCATTATTCATGGGTTTGCCCTAAAATCATTATGAAAACATAACTTGTAAAGTTTTGAGCAAGGGGTAGATAAAGGTTAAGCAAAAGTTTTATGCCCAGACTAGTAACTGCCTTTTGAAAAAGCAATAGTTGCCCAAGTGCTTATCCCACCTGCAGTAATAATGCAACTCTAGATGGTGCTAATACAGTTTAATTGCACTGTATTTTCAGTTCACTGATATAAAGAACTCTCTTTCAAAAAGTTATTTATTCTGGAAGGATTGTCTTTTGCTATTCTTTGTCACAGTGGCAATTTACATATATGGGTGAGGAGGAAACAATACATTCTTTTAAAGACATTGCCCCTTAACCCAAAGCCAGAGCTACTATTTTAAAGGATGAAGTCACACAGTATATTATGCATGCAAGTAAGTCCTAGCCTTCGTGAGATACCTCTTTGTGTTAGCAAACATAATGAGTGAACACAATTATCAAAGATATAGTCAGCACCTTATGCGGTTTCCCCCCTCAACCACTGTAATTTATTACATTTCAACTGAAGGTAATCATAGCCATATCAATTCACAAATTAGGTTTTCACATCCCTACCAATTTTTATTTTTTTAAGTCGTGAAATGAATTAGCCTTGGTCTTTAAAAGTTTCCTTCTACTTATCATATTTAGAACCTCTATGTTCAGAGACAGTATTTTCTCTGAATAGTAGATGCTTAGGCAAACCAGGTCAGGCTATATTTGTGCCCTGCTCATAAGCTTCCAAACAGTGCAGACTACATGGGTCTACTTGTAAGGACAAGTAGGACTCTTCTTCTGCTTTGTTGCAATATGAAAAAAAAATACTTATTATAATTTAATTTAATTAATATTCTTTCAAATAACACATTGTAACATAATTTACCTAACGTGAGAGGCTGAGGACAAGGATCAAGAACATACTCCTTTTCTGGATCTTCATTTTTTTGTTGGTGCCTGCTTGTTTTCTTTAGTCCAGTATCAACTACTGCTCTGACTGTCTCCTTCTTCACAGGTTTGTATGAATTCTTTTTACTCTGTGTCTTTGACTTAAAAGGATCTGCTAATGAAAGATTCTGCAGCTGAAGATTATGTAAAATGTGATCTTGTAATGCCACGGCGGTAAGTGCTACAGAGTCTCGTTTGGAGGAACTCCCCTAAATAAAGTTTCATAATTATTATTATAAATTACTTCTGTATGTGTACGTTATGTACTGCATATTAAACAACAAAAGAAATTCAGCCCTTAGCCAATGATGGTTTTTTCACTTGACAGAGGCTTTATACTCTTACAACTCCCATGCTTGAAGTCTTACTAATATACAATTACCATAATATGAAACATAAGATTGATGTTTGACACATCCTAACTTTTACTTATATAAAGGCAAAAGAAATCTTTGATTTATCATTTATATTAAATAAAATAGCAGCAATTTTTAAACTTTTAATTACTGAACCCATAATTATTATGTGCAATAAACTCATTATGAACTATAAAAGTTTGACATGCCTAAACATATTTTGTTTCGATGTAATTAAAAACCAAACCTTAGGCTACTCTTGCCTTCCAAAGCAACTACACATTAAAAAAACCCCATGTCAGTAGATAATATTCTACATACATCAAATGGGCCTATTTATAATACCTTATTGTAAAAGTTACAATTTTTAGCATGTTTTACAACCATACAATTCATGCACCTTGCTATACTTTGTTTGCATCATGGAACTGGAGGCAATGATGATTTCGTTATCTTCAGTATGGAAGGATGCTTCACTGATCTAAACATTTGATAGAACAGACTGTCAAAACTGTGTCCTAAAACAACAAATACAAACACTAGAGAAGTAATTGGAATGATAACCCAAAATATAATGTGTATGTAGCACAATACATACAAGACCAAACTGCGGGAGGTAGTGGAGGACAGAGGTGCCTGGCGTGCTCTGGTCCATGGGGTCACGAAGAGTCGGACACGACTAAACGACTAAACAACAACAACAATGTAGCACAATGGCACATGTTGAAGTTGCTCTATGAGACAGGTGGGGCCAGTCTATTATACCATGAGTCAGTTTCAGCATCACAGCTGAATGCTATAAAACAGGCATGCCTATTTCTGGTGACATATGTGGTGGACAAAAAGTATTCAGAATATATCTGGAAGAGCTGACCTCTCAAAGACTTAAGTGAGCTCTTATAAAATACATTTCTCAGTTCTTCAATTGTTCCAACAGTTTCCATGTCACAGGTTTAACGTTATTTTTCATTGTTGCTTGGCCATCCTAGATGGTTGACCAAAACCTGAAGCAAGCTGCTTTCTTCTAAAATGTTTCAAATAGTCTACATTTTCTATTACATAAAAAACAATTTATTAACTTAAGATTTCCTTTTGACTTCTTCTTTAATAATATTCAAAGCATGACTGACTAGATGAGCTACTAGTTCCTTTATTCTTCCACAATATAAAAAGCTTATTTCTCGGTCATCTTGTTTCTAATTGTCTCCCAGTACTACCTCTACACTCACTTATGGTATCTTCTTATTAATCAGAAACCTTGGCCTGCCCATTTGCTAATCTTTGCTGTAACCAAAAATCTTACTTTTTTTTTTTGCAAATTATCTGTAAATATGCACCACATTACTATCTTAAGGATATAATTCCAAGCATAGTTACTTGAAGTAATTATTACTTTAAATCAACAGGACATGCTCCAAAGCATGGACAGGACTGAGCAGCAACATTTAATTAGACAAAATCTAGTAAAAGATAATTGCAACTAAATCCCTTTGAAAGCAACGGGATGTGAGTTTGTTGTAACTAAGCTAAGCATCATTTCTTTTAGGGGGACTTCAGAACAGACTGTTAGTGGATTGTGTCCATTGTGGTTTTCCCTCTACTGGCACCCAACACCCCATAACACTGCTTTATTTATGATTCCTACTTTGATCACCCCCTCCACTTCTCTTTATATACAACCTCTTAATCGTATGTACACATAAGATGCATTAACAAGAATTCAATTTTATCCTGATTTTTTAAAAGCTCAAGTACTATGTAGCTCTCCTCCAACTGTCACTAAACTGACCAACAAAAATATTGTCTGGCAGGTAACTAGTATTGCATTGTGCACCTGCCAGACTGGCTGGGCCAGGCTCTGTTCAGATGAATGCTGGGAAGCCAATGGCCTTCTAAATATTGGTGTACTCTCACTCCCACTATCCTCACTCTAAAAGGCCTATAGTCAGGGAAAATGAGAATTGTAGTCCACAACATCTGTAGGGCAATAGGTTTCCGAGCTGTGCTCTATACTACGTCTACCTGTTCATATTTTTCATCACAGCCCTTTAATCTACATCTTCCTACTAAGCCTAAATAAGGACATCTGAAATGGATGTGTAATCTTCCTTTGCCATCTTCCTCTTCTATAGCAAACTTTGGAATACAGTATGTAACTTCCTTGGTGCAGGGGACTCTTCATTTTACTATGATACCAAATAAAAGTTTGATTTGCTTTTTATAAAACTGATACTTTCTCTGGGTTCCTCACTTGGATACCATGCCAGAAGGTTTTGCACACTCCTCCCAACTTTTCCATCTTTTAAAAATTAAAAATTAAATTTAAATGTTTTTACTCACTGATCCCATCGGTCCCCGGCTCTAATACTGTGGTGCTAAAAGGTTTTTGTTTTGTTTTTTAAAACCCAGTCCTCTAGAATCTCTCCATTTAAAAAAGGTCACTGTGATGCCAATCTGTGTTGTGAACTGTAGCTCTAAATTTGTCCTTTTCAAAATAAATCAAGAATTGGCCCTGTGCATTTTGACACACAGCCTCTGGAGTGCTGGCCATGGGTGCAAAAGGTTATCCACCCCTGGTTTAACAGCTGGTTGTTTTAAATCAGGGCTCCCTCTGGTTGTTGTTAGAATTCAACGCCAACCAACTTTCAAAAAATAATGTGTCTCACCCCTGATTTGTTATCTCGTCATTTTTAATCAGGGATCTCTCTAGGTGTAGTTGGACACCACCTCAGCTAATGGTGAGGGGAGTTGCAATGCCCTTATAAAATGTGTTTTTTTGGGGGGGGGACTAAACTGGCTTAGTTTTTATTTTTATTATGTATTTTGTGGTTTTATATCTTGATTTTATTCTGTGAACTGCCCCAAGACCCACAGGTAAAGGGTGGTATATAAATTCAATAAATAAAAATAGAGGGCTACATATTTTCGCATCCCAATTTAAAATTATTGTAAAGCACTCTGAGCACGAATCGCATAGCATAAATGAAACAGAAAAACTTTACAAAGAGTCCAGTGGTGTCATAGGAGCAAACTCCTAGGGGTCGAGGGCCCTTTGTCCCCCACCCCATAAATTGAGGGGCCCCTCCCCCTCCCCAAGTTGATGGGCATTGCCTTTCGAATGGTTTGTGCATGCATCGTGTCAAGTGATCGAATATGCAGGGCAGGGCTTAACTGCCCCCCGCAATACTGTATTTTATTCAAGTTGGCACCCCTGAGCTGTTAGTTAAGAGCATGGGTAGGCAAACTAAGGCCCAGGGGCCGAATCCAGCCAAACTGCCTTCTTGATCCGGCCCACAGTCAGTCCAGGAATCAGCATGTTTTTACATGAGTAGAATGTGTCCTTTTATTTAAAATGCATTTGTGGGGCATAGGAATTTGTTCATCCCCCCCCTTCAAAATATAGTCCGGCCCCCCACAAGGTCTGAGGGACAGTGGACCGGCCCCCTACTGAAAAGGTTTGCTGACCCCTGGTTAAGAGTGTCCAGTCAGGGCAAGGGAGACTGTCAAACTTCCACCATCAGCCAAGCAGCTCACTGATGGTGATCAATCTGCCGAAATTACCTCACAGGCTTTTCGTTAGGATAATGGGGAAAGAGGACGGTGTGCGCTGCTTGAAGCATCTTGGAAGAAAGGCGAGATGTTGGTTTTATTTCATTTAACTAATTTTTACCCCGCTCTTCAGTAAAGGATGGAGGGAAGGCTCCAGAGCGGCTTACAAACGGCTAAAGAAAAGTCCCTGCCTTCAGACTTTTGCTACATAAAAGGAAAAAGGGTTAAGAGGGAGGAGGAAACCAGAAAACTCTTGGATATGAATGATGTAATAAACAGATTAACAGTAGTTGCCCCCGCTCCAGATTTTCCCCCTCAGCTTGCCTGCCTCCCGCGACGTTTCTCTCCCTCGCCCCTCCAACACACCGACCTGGTCAACCGCTCTTTTTCCCCCCCTCAGGCTCGGCCACGCGCCGGTTGCTAAGCGACCAGGCTCGCCCAAACAGACAGTGTGCCCGCGCGCGCGTGTTTTAGCGAAGAGCGCGGCGCGCGCCCACCGGCGACGGAGACGGTTGAGCGCGAGCGAGAGTGATTCGTTGTGATTGGAGGTTTCAGCGCGCGCGCGCGAGAGAGAGAGAGCGACTGAACGAACGTCTGCGGCGCGCGGGAGAAGACGCAAAGCGGCGAGGAAGAGGGAAGGCGCAGGCGCGAACGCACCTCTGGCGGTGGGCTGCTCAGGTGGATCCGGCGCGTGCTTTACAGTGAACGCTGCTGCTGCTGCTGATTTTGTGAGGAGACCGCAGTAGAACGTGTTTCGCTTGGAGACCCCTCATTCTCCTAGTTAGGAGCAGCCAGTAGTGAGCACCTGCTTTGTAGACGCTCCCTATTTCTGTTTCCTCAGGTTTTTAAAAGTTACCAAAGTAAGCATTTTAAGGAACATAGGAATCTGCCTTATACTGAGGCTGTATGCACGCGCATCCCTCCAGGACCCCGTGGAGAGTCTTTGTTTTTGCTGTGTAGTTTACCCACAGTCGAGAGGTATAACATATATTTTTTTGCCCCTGAAAAGCGCTTCTTGGAAAACTGATTTCATTCCGAAAATAAAACCTCCTTGCAGACTGATTCTGTGTTATTCTGCAGTGGGTCCTCTCGAAAGTCTACACTGACTGGCTGTGACATCCTTCAGGGTTTTCAACTGGGCTCTCTTGGTTTGAACCTGGGACTTTGCGCATGCAAAGCAGGTCCCCTGCCATTGAGTTATGGCACGTAAAGGTAAAGGGACCCCTGACCATTAGGTCCAGTCGTGACTGACTCTGGGGTTGCGGCGCTCATCTCGCTTTATTGGCCGAGGGAGCCGGTGTACAGCTTCTGGGTCACGTGGCCAGCATGACTAAGCCGCTTCTGGTGAACCAGAGCAGTGCACGGAAAAGCCGTTTACCTTCCCGCCAGAGTGGTACCTATTTATCTACGGTACTTGCACTTTGACGTGCTTTCGAACTGCTAGGTTGGCAGGAGCAGGGACTGAGCAACGGGAGCTCACCCCGTTGCGGGGATTCGAACCGCCAACCTTCTGATCGGCAAGTCCTAGGCTCTGTGGTTTAACCCACAGTGCCACCTGCGTCCCGGCACTTAAGACAATTTAATTTTACTCTATTTGATTAGGTTGTTCGCTGTGATAATTTGTATGCATTATATTTTCATTATTACTATTTAAAATTGTACTTTTGCTTTCTTACTATTTTGTTACTTGCCATGAGAACATAGGTTGATGTTGAAAGTATGGGATATAAATTCAAATCAAACCTTGGTTGCTGCAGTAAGTGACCTGTGCCAAGGAAACAAAAAGCACACAAAGCACGTTATCCAAATGTGTATAGCGGTGTGAAAGAGAATAAAAATACAGTAACCAAAAGAGAGCATCACACTGGCTATCCCTGCTTTATATTCTTCCCTGCTCATGCACACAATCCCATATATCATTAGTGTGAAGATGAGCCCGTCATATGTTCACTGGATCAAAGGGAGAGTTGGGTTGTGCTTGCAGGCCACACCCTTTGATACTCCTGGCTTGAGTGGCATGCCTGTGACAACTGAGCGTAGACATGCAACCCTGCTAGCAGACAGATTAGCAGTGTGGCCAGCAATACAACAAGAGGGCCATGGCTGCAATATTGGTATACATGTTGCAGATGGAACTTCAAAGCAGGGTTATTATGAAACTGTTATTTGCCTTATTCCAGGCTTCCTCAAACTCGGCCCTCTAGATGTTTTGAGACTACAATTCCCATCATCCCTGACCACTGGTTCTGCTAGCTAGGGATCCTGGAGGGCCGAGTTTGAGGAAGCCTGCTATTCCTTTATGATTATGGAAACGTGTACAGACCAGCCTCTATTGAAATGAATGAGGAGCAGGAACAGTGTGTCTTGTTTTGCTGTTGGAGGTGAAATGAGAAGTGCCATCCTGCCCTGCTGTTGTTGCCATGCCTCCCAGCTTCGGCCATACTGCTTCTGTCACTGGTGGAGAAGCCGATTGCTGGTGAGATCTCACTGATTTCCAGGAAAATCTTGTGCACTCCGCAAGATCTCATGCAATTCAGCAAGATGTTGTGCTGATGCCAGTGCAACTTCACCACCCACAGGGGTACTGACTCGGGATGTGCTGGCCCTGATGAGAAGCTTGACCCTGCAGGAATTATGTGCACATCAGGGTTCTGGGTCACATTCATGAGTATAAGCTATGTTTTCATTGCACTGCTCCCAACTGCACTATTTTGCAGTTCAATATCTAGCTTAGTGTAGGTATTCAAAGAAGGCCTGATGTTATTTTAAACTGTGTTCAGGCTACTACTAACCAACCATTGTTGCAATATTTAGGTCAAATAAAATTGAGTGCAAAATTAGTGTGTTTGCATGGTTTATTTTGTGATTCCTGAATTCCCATAGTTTGGGATTTCCTGATCATAGAATTTTGGCTTTGAAATCTAGGACAGCATAGGTTCAAGGCTGTTGAGCTGCATCTAAATCAGAATAGGTATGCAAATACTACTGGTATTTGTATGTATTTTTCAACGTTTGTTTCATTATTGGGGGTTATTTTATGTGTTTATGGTTACCATATTTTATTTCCTGCAGTTGCAAGTATGTTACTGTATTGGCTCTAATAAACAAACTGTGCTAAAAGAAATACTTTCTGCTGATGGGAAGCTAATTATTTTCATTTTCTTAGTACACAATTTTGAAAAAATCCCGACATTGCAATTCCAGTTTAACTTTTGTCAAGCTAGTTATATTTTTGAAAGGGGCTCATTCCTTGAGCGTGAAGTAAACCTCTAGTTCATAGCATTTCAGGCTTTAGAATTAGGACTGAAAAGAGGGGATTCTTTCTCTTTGTTATTGAAAGCAATTTCTTGTTTGCTTTGCCATGTCAAACAAAGCATACTATTTGTCACTGTGGTTTGTATATGTAATATATATATATTTTAGATAGGCTTTTGACTTTGATCTGAAGTAAAGCGCACTGGTAGCAAAGATGACAGAAGTAACAAATCAGTGATGTCCGTTGTCACTCAGACAAACTCTTTAAGTCAATAAAGAGTGAGATTCTGAGGCTGAAAGCCATATGACTTGGGATGAGGCTTGTACATGCTTGTGAGAAAATGCAGACCTTTGCCTCCCTTGATTCAGACAAAGGTGTGGGGAAATTTATTAGGGATTCAGTTCAGTGTGTGCAATCAAAAGGTGCCTCTTCTAGTCCAGAGACTGGCCTTTGCTTGCATTTCTAGACAAACAATCCTATTTAAAAGGCAGCACCAAGCTAGGCTTGGTGGCACGTAGCAGCTGCTTTATTAAAACTGTCATCACAGTAGATCTCAGGGCATGCTCTGAGCAAGACTACTATGTTTTTAAAAACAACAGTACGAAGCATCTTAAAATTAGTTTTCATGTGAGTTTTAAAATGAAAGCAAATGAGAAGTTTTCCCCAGTATGCTAATTGCCAGCAATCAAGGGTTGATTCCAAAACAGGCCTTTGCAGGAAGGCTGTCAAAGGCTAAAGCCCTCCTACTCCCCACTACATTTCGATTCTAGATAGACTCCTTGCATTGGCAATTTATGTTACACCTTATGTTACACTTAAGGGCAAAGATATGAAATCAAATTATTATTATTAAAGATTTATTTATACCCCACACCCCATTTTCCCTGATGGGACTCAAGGCAGCTTACACTGAAAAATGAGAGCCACTAAAACAAAGAAGAAAAAAATAGTTTGGCCCCCAGAGCTCTGGTGGGGAAGGGTTGGAGCACAGCTGCTTTGTATGTAGAAGGACACAGATTCAATTTTTGGGGAACAGGTCCATCAGCCTCTCCAGCTAGGGGTGGGAATGACCCCTGCCTGAAACACTTGAGACAATACTGAGCTAAAAGGAAGGCAGTTGTGTGTGTGTGTGTGTGTGTGTGTGTCTGTAAGTGTGGGGCAAATGGGCCTCTGAATGCCTTCTCTGCTGTCAAAGTCACAATGCTGTAGAAATTGAATGCTAACACATTTATTGTGGTACAAACGTTTGTAGACTGGAGCTTACTTCATCAGATGCATGAAGTATCCAGAGTTGGAAAGGAACATCTACACTGGATGTTGTTATAATAATAATTTATTCTTTATAAAGGTAAAGGTAAAGGTACCCCTGCCCATACGGGCCAGTCTTGACAGACTCTAGGGTTGTGCGCCCATCTCACTCAAGAGGCCAGGGGCCACCGCTGTCCCGAGACACTTCTGGGTCACGTGGCCAGCGTGACATCGCTGCTCTGGCAAGCCAGAGCCGCACATGGAGACGCCGTTTACCTTCCCGCTAGTAAGCGGTCCCTATTTATCTACTTGCGCCCGGGGGTGCTTTCGAACTGCTAGGTTGGCAGGCGCTGGGACCGAGCAACGGGAGCGCACCCCGCCACGGGGATTCGAAATAAAGATTATTCTTTATACCCTGCCCATCTGGCTGGGTGTGCAAATAATAGCAGAATGTCTTACAATTCTGTTGAAGCCAAACTGATCCACTCACAAATATCATTTGTGATAATACTTCCTTCCTATGCTAATTTAACACCTAAAGAGGAACAATTACATGCTGTAGTGGAAAAAAAATACTCCCAGGCTTGACTAGACTGAACAGAATGGAAGTTGCCAATAAATTATAGTGCAGTAGTGTAGTGTCATGCTGGACTCTGCTTTTGAAGGACCTTTTCCAGAAGGGGGAAAAAGTGGTTGGATGGGTCACAGCTCCAATATCTATACTCCATAATGGCCTTCTGGCAAAACCTATCCCAGCAGTTACTACTTGTCCAGGTATCTGAAGAAGTGTGCATGCAAACAAAAGTTTATACAAGTACCTAAAACTAATCAGTTGGTCTCAAAGGTGCTACTTTATAATTCTTAAATTCTTTTGGAAGGATTCTTTTAAAGACTTTCTTAGAACATACAACTTCTTTGAAG